TTCGGGCGGATGCAGTTTTCGTGACTCGTATGCGATAGGCTGTAAGCCGTTGCCGAAATCCTGTAGCAGTACGGCTCCGATGGCGATGTCGCTTGCGTCTGTAATGACTTCGAAAGGGCGGTGTGGGTCAGCAATGCGCAGTACGGGCGGGGAGCAGAGGACGGTTTTCAGGGCAGAGAAGGCAGCATGCTCTTTCTCCCCCCATGTAAAAGTGACCCCCTTGCGTAGCAGATCCGTCAGTGGGGCTGTTAATTGTGCCATGTCGGGGACGAACCGACGCACATAATTAACGAACCCTAAAAAACTCTGTAGCTCCGTGATGTTTGTCGGGGGATGCCACGCTTTTACCGTGTCCAACTTCTTCGGGTCGATTTCAACCCCAGCCTCCGAAATAACGTGCCCTAAAAACTCTAGCCTGTCTTGAAAGAACTCGCACTTGGAACCCTTGATCAGTAGTCTGTGCTCGTCTAAAACCTTAAATACTGCTTCCAGATCTGCTAAGTGCTGCTGCTTATCCCGACTGTAAACTAGGATGTCGTCGAGGTAAACTATCACGCATTTATCTAAGAGCGGCCTAAACGCCTCATTCATGGTCATCTGGAAAGTTGCCGGTGCGTTGGTCAGCCCGAATGGCATCACGGTGTATTCGAATGACCCATACCTAGTTCTAAATGCTGTTTTTACGCAGTCCGATGGTTCGACCCGAATCTGGTGGTAACCTCCCCGTAAATATATTTTCGAAAAAACCCGTGCTGTTCGCAACTGGTCGATCAGTTCGTCAGCGCGGGGAATGGGGTATCGCGACTTGATTGTTACCCGGTTCAGTGCTCTGTAATCAATGCACATGCGATGAGAAGAAACGAGGGATTGATCAAGTTTAACTAGGGCCTAGGCTTAGGAGCCTAGGCCCAACTAGGATGTCGAGTAGTTTGTGCCTAGGGTGAGAGTCGAGAAAGTTGGAAAGGATGGTTTCACTATAGGTTTCGAAGAACATATAGCAAAGGAAACAAATAAGGTGCACCACCAAACAAAGTTTATAATAACTACACTAACTACAGCTACAGGCAGTTACAAATATAAGTTCTGACACTCCCCCATAACTGCCTGCATCAGGAGTTTGTGCAGAATACAACCTGCAGGGGTACACATGCAAAATAATAAACAAGCAACAGCAGGTACTGCAGGCGGGCTAACACTAGCTGGTCACCCCCTCCATCTCCTCACCCTCCTCCTTCCCTTCCCCCACACTGCTGCAGGAGCAGCAGAGAGGGGGGGGAAGAGAGGAGAGGTGGAGGGACGGCTGCTGGTTGCCTCACACCCGCCACCCCGGTGCCACTCCCCCGTCTCCCCCACACCCTCACACCCTCCCCCCCAGCGGCAGCTGCAGCAGTGGGAACGAAAGGAGGAGGAGGGGAAGGGAAGGATACGACCCAACGCTCCAACACCCGCCACCCCCATACCCTCCCCCCCACGGCTGCAGGGAGACAAAGGAGGAGGGGGTGGGCGGGAAGAAAGCCGCAGAGCGACTACAATGTGTCGGCGCAGGTAGGTCAGGGGCGGCTGCAGTGAGAGCAGGTGCGGAGAGGCGCGTCGCGTGCCACGGGGCGCACGACAGGTAAGTTTAAGGTAAGGGCACCGTCGTGTGCCTCGGGGCGCACGACGAGCAGGGCACCGTCGCGTGCCACGGGGCGCACGACGGGCAGGTTTAGGGCACCGTCGCGTGCCACGGGGCGCGCGACGGGCAGAGTAGGAGTCACTCGCCAACCGGGGGCGGGACAATAGAAAATCGCCACGCGCCCTAGGCGCGCGACCGGAAAAACGTAGCAGCGGAAGCATGAGGCGGGCCCACAGGCCAGGACGTAACTCGCTCTGATACCATGAGAAGAAACGAGGGATTGATCAAGTTTAACTAGGGCCTAGGCTTAGGAGCCTAGGCCCAACTAGGATGTCGAGTAGTTTGTGCCTAGGGTGAGAGTCGAGAAAGTTGGAAAGGATGGTTTCACTATAGGTTTCGAAGAACATATAGCAAAGGAAACAAATAAGGTGCACCACCAAACAAAGTTTATAATAACTACACTAACTACAGCTACAGGCAGTTACAAATATAAGTTCTGACATGCGAAACCCCCCGTCTTTTTTCGGTGTGAACAGTATCGGTGCGGCGAACGGTGACGAGCTCGGTCGGATGAATTTTTTCTCTAACAAGTAGTCTAACTGCTTCCTCAGCTCATCGAGCTCGGGCTGTGTCAGTCGGAACTGTCGCTGTACGGTTGGCTGTGCCCCGGGTTCTAACTCTATGCGGTGGTCGTGTGCTCGCTGAGGTGGCAGTCCTTCTGGTAAATCGTCCGGAAAAATCCCCGGGTACCGTTTCAACAGTTCCTGTAGTTCGGACGGTACCGCTGCCAACAGTTTCTGAAAATCGCTCGGCTGCTCTGCTTCTCCTACCAATGCTATAGCCACTGCGTACACGTCAGCTCCAGCGGCGACAGCCCGTTTCATCGTGATGGCGTTGACGTGGACCGTTGAAGACTCGGGCGACTGCCAGCGAGGTAGCACGACCCAGTTACCGCTACTTCGCACAGTACAGCTACCCGTCGTCCAGTCAATTCGCGGGTTATACCGTCGCAGCCAATCACGTCCCAGTAAAATGTCGTGCCCATCCAATGTCCTCGCGAACATTTCCTGTGTAAACCCAAAATTTCCCCCGCAGCGGACTTTTACTCTCTCCACCTTTTCCCGTATGGCCAGCGGCGTTCCGTCTACTAAGCGTGCATCTATTTCTGGTAAACACCGACTAAGTGTCAGTCGCAGCTTCCGTGCGGTTGCGGTATTAATTAAGCTGTGGCTTGCTCCTCCGTCTATAAAGATCTTTACTGCTCCTCCCTGTACTTTCCCGTGAATCAGTACTGGGCAATCCGTCGCTGTACCCTCCTTATTCATCCGAGCCCGATCGATAGCGTGAATCGGTACTGTGACTCGGTGAGGGTCGGTGTGGTTGGGCGAGCAGGCAGTCTCGTCAGTAGTTGGCCCAACTTCTACTGACTGCTGGCGTTTCCCTGCCTCTGAGACTCCCTCCCCTGCTCTGCTCCGCGGCGCCTCAGCTCCTCTGGGCATTCGCTCTTGCGATGGCCCGGCCTGTTGCAAGCAAAGCAGCGCCCCTTAAACGGCGCAGCAGCTGCATTCGTCGCAACGGCGTGTACAGTGGCGTGCTCGGTCGGTCCCCGAGGACGATGTCCGTAGTAGGACCCCGGTCTCGGTCGGCGTAGAATGTCGATTTTCTCGGCGAGCGCGAGAATCTCGTTGAAGTTCGAGAGTCCGCGCAGCATGATCTCGTGCGAGATATCCGGCTTCAGCCCTCCGACGTAACGGTCCACCCGCTCCGCTTCGTGCATGTAGCCGACTTGCTCGCAAAGTGCGAGGAAACCGCTCGTGTAATCTTGAACCGACCCGAGCTGCCGCCAAGTGCGCAACCTCTGGCGCGCCGAAATAGAAGCCGCGATTGGCTCGAAGCGCGCCCGAAGCCCTGCGCACCACGCATCCCACGTGCTGTATTGGGCGGTCTCGCAAAACGAACTCCAGGTGACAGCTGGACCCGTGGGCCCTTCCTCTTGCGACGGTGGCTCGTAGGCGCGTGGCGACGTCACGATGACTCGCCACCAGTCCATGGCGGGGCCCCTTAGCAGCGAAACGGCATACCGAATCTTCGCTGCGTCCGACTCGACGTAATTTGCGTCGAAGAAGACGTTCATCGTGAAGACCCACGATTGAACCGTCGGACCTCCACGCTGGCTCGGGTCGAAGCAGGGCGGGCGTTGCGGCTTGAGTGGCATTGGTGCCATAATGGCCTGTCCGCCACTTGTCGCTGCAAACTCCACGTGCCGACGGGCTTCGCGAGGCTCCCGCGGGCTTGGCGCAATCCTGTTTCCTCCCATGCCAGGCATTGGTTGGGCGGCGCTATCACTGGCTGCACCTGAGCGCTGTCCCACGCTGTCGTGTTGTGTTGGTGTACCGGACGAGATGATGATTGGCTCGTCCGATTGTGCAGGTGCATTTGTTGGTGCGTGTGGTGCTGCTGGAGTGTTCACCGACGATTGCTGACGCGCGGAGTCACGTTCCGCCGTGAGCGTCGCGATTTCGAGTGCCGAATCTTCAACGTGGCGCACCAGACGGTCGAGCTGCTCCTGCGTCAAGGTCGCGAGATTGAATTCGGCCATGGTGGGGGTGTCGGGCAAGCTCAGCGAGAGCCTCGGTCGTGGCCGTGCGTGCTTACGAGAGAGCACTACGAGCGGCGGTGCTGTGTCGCTGAGAGACGTCTACCCCCGCCCAAAAATTGAGATAGTGGGGAAAACGAAGGTGTGGGTGCGGTCCGAGAAGAGATCGTAGGCTCTGAATACCAAGTGTTACGAGTGCAATTGAGTGAACGAACGAGAATTGCACTATCGAAGCAAGAGTACAATCAGCGAAGGCATAAGCGAAGAATATATAGCGAAACTACAGTGGTAACGGTAATGTGTGAAAATGGGGTGCGCGACGGGCCTGGTGCCGAGGTTTGGGAAAGTGTCGAGGCGGAGGTCCGGAGCGCGGGTTACCAACCGAACCGTGAGGTTGGGTCGCGTCGTGAATGGTGGCGGGAATGGTGTCGAAGCGAGTGTCGCGAGTGGTAACGGATTACTGTTGGGTGCTGTGGGTGGGAACAGTGGTGTACGCGCTGAGCAGGGACGCGAAGTAAGGAAAAGGAATTTTCCTTACAGATTGGAAGAATTTGCTCAAAACACGGTGAGGATTCACAGAACCACCAAAAAGCGTTTCGGTCAGCTTGTAAGTGCAGTGAGGTGTCTCTGGGGCTCATCGGTTGTGCTGACGCAGCAACCGCGTGACGACTCACGACTGTCAATTGGCGGCTTTGTGACCAACCAGCTTTGATCAACCGGATGTTTGCTCCACAAGTCCGAAAGGATTCGATATAATCTATCGGTTTTGGAGGTGTTATTTCTTGCTCCTCATCCAAACATTTTAGCATATGCGGCCTTCTCCTTTTCCTTTCTTGTTGCCAACTGCAAGGAAGGAGAGACGTCAAGCATAAGTTGAATGAATGTTTCATAAAAATCGACTCAGTATCCTGCAATCACTCACCTTCTTTTTGGCAGCCGCAAGCTCTCTTTTAATTCCACCTGCACATAAATAAGGATGACACAACAACATTGCTTAGAACAGCAGTGTGATGGAGATACAGCGATGCAGCTCCATTGATGACAACAATCCCTTACAATACCTAGGTGAGAAGGTGAATCTCATTCAACATACAGTCTCCCTCAACATACAGTCTCAATCAACATACCATCATTCGGTTCAACCTTCAGTGCCTGTGTCAGGTCAGCAATTGCTGGTTCCAACTCATTGCGACCCAAACACGCCTGCCAAGCCACAAAACAAACAGAGATGTTCATGCCTAAGCACACACGGATTCTCTTCAAGCGAAAAAATAAATGCCCGCCCTTCACAATATACCCTGTTGAGAGGAACAGCGGCCTAGAGAAAGACACGTTCGTACCTGGGCGCGTCTGAAGAGTGCTTTGGCGTTGTTCTCGTTTCTCGACAGCACTGAGCTGCTGTCCTCGATGGCACCGTCAAAATCCCCGCGCTTCAGCTTGCAGGCCTGGGAGAAGAACACCCAGGGACACACCACAACGCATGGCAAAGAATTGTCGGAGCTGCACCCTCTCACCCCTCTCACACCCCCCAGCTCCTCACAGCTAACCCCTCATCACGATGTCAGAGTGGAACGAGACCCATGTATTCCTGCTTGACAGGGATCCCTGTTTGCTTTTCAAGTGAAAACAGGATGACCAAGAGGTTTCGAGTACAACCAGAAATAGCTCTTTTTGGCTGATATATACATTCGCCTTCACACAACCAACCTCTCCTCACCGCGTAGTTGTTGAGAAGGGCGTCCCGAATGGTGTGAAGCTCCTCCAGGGTCTCTGATAACAGGCAGGAGGAAGAGGGGACATGATCGGCGAAGAAAAGGAGATGTGAGCAAGGTGTGACGAGAGACGAGATGGGCGACGCCAGCATGCGACACCATGGCCTTGCACTCAGCGGCTAGCAAGTGCAGGCGCCCACACAAACGTCAAGTCACAAGAGTGGCATCTTCAGGTGGCAAAACATGGACGGCGAAAGCACACCACCGTGGCCTGGCACCAGGCGGCTAACTAATGCCACTTGGCAAACCAGCCAGGCGGCACCACTAGGCTACACAACACACACAACCGAGAACCCGAGTGGCAAAAAGAGCTTGCTTGCTGGGAACCAACAAAATTCACAAGCATACCTCCTGGGATGTCCTTCATGTCCCATGCCTTGTCCAGATACACCATGGCCTTGCGGTATCGCCGAAACGCCATGCGGTAGTCCCCGTTCTGCAGAGGGGAGTGAATTGAAAGTCAATGTGTTCAAGAAAACTTCAAATCGTGTTTTGAAAAGCCTGACCACCTGTGTCGCCCAGAATATCAAGCCCGTCACTGAAACACACTTGGCATCCTCTTCTTGCCTGACACGGGTGACCATTCGCGTACCTTGCCTTCAAGTGGCGTCGCCTCTCACTTTGAAGTGCGTGGTGCCGCCAAGGTCCGTGATGGATTTGACTGCCTCCACGGTCCACCCACCACTGATTCCTTAGTGTGATGAAATGATATTTTTGAGCTGCTTCAGAAACCACTTTCACCTTGAAGTACTTCCACACTCTCACCTCGAAGTGCGTGGTGCCAAGGTCCGTGATGGATTTGACTGCCTCCACTACAACCACCACTTCGCTTGAGTCAGTATTTGCAATCGAGATGGTATAGGTTCACGTCGTTTACACATGGGGACGAATTTAAGAAGCCTCAAAAGCAATTCTCACCTTGAAGTGCGTGGTGCCAAGGTCCTTGATAGATTTGACTGCCTCCACCCACCACTGCCACTCCGTTGGCCTCTCGTCCAGATCACTGGGCCAGTCGGGGTACTTGTCTCCGTCCTGCCATGCCCACAGATAGACACAGAAAACAAGAGCCCAATGGGACAAATGAAAGGGCATGGGTGAAAAGAGGCAAACAGCAATTGGGAGAAGAACATGCTCATGCCCATGCCCTTTGCCGGCTGCAGTGTGCTCGAGGTGATTATTTAGGAAGTGAAAAATCAACCGCAGCCTGCAGTGTGCTGCGATGCCCACTACAGGCTGCAGGCAGCAGCCATTCCTTCATCCTGCCCACGCATATGCTGTTGACCCCAAGTCACTTGGTTGTTCACCCCTCGTCCTTTTCCCATCCTTCCTCTCCCCTCTCCTCCTCCTTCCCTCTCTCCCCGCGGTCACAACATCCCCCCTACCCTCTCCCCTCGCCACCCTGTCTTCTGACTCACAGGGTGGTTCATGGTGCTGTCGTCCCCCCCTTGTGCCAGCTCATTGCGGATCCCACAACGGCAGAACTAGGTATAAGATCTAATATCCTCAACAACTGTTGATCTTTACCGCCTCCCTGCCTGCTATGTAGTCTATGGTCCTCCTTCCCCCCTCCCCCCACCCTCTTCCCAGCTCCAACTCACAGGGTGGTTCATGGTGCCATCGTCCTCCCCCTCTGCCAGCTCGCCGCAGTCGTCGATAACGACGTCGCTCAACGGACGATCTGAACCGTCCGTGGGTGTGATCTCCACTGCTCGAAGCACCTGATTGATTGGAGAGGAAACAATGGAAACAAGCAACATGAAGGTAAAGCTGATACCTCAACATGGAACTCGAAGGCCTCTTTGCATACCCTTTACAGACATACGCCATTGAACTAAACTCCTTGAGTGTCTCACCTGCCCTCCTCGTAGCACCCGGCCAAACACGCAGTGCTTGCCGTCGAGATGAGGAGTGGGGCCGAAGTTGATGAAGAACTGGCTGCCGTTCGTGCCAGGCCCGCTGTTCGCCATGGATAGGATCCCCCGCTATCATGCTGCGGTGCAGTGTGGTCAGGATGGGCACGAGGGAGGAAGGGAAAGGTGCACGTTGGCTTAGCTCGGTAATAATACGCAGCGCTGATCATGTTTTGGTAGGGATGTAAGATAAAGGAAGGATGGGAAATAAATATAACACGTAAGAAAACCGACTAACAAATTTAAAAAACGCGTCATACCTTAAGCGCCAAGCCCCCGGGCTCGTCCTGGAACTTGTACCCATAGGCGGCTGCTTTGATTGGTCAACTACAAAATGAGCTCATTGCTCGCGGTTCATACCTTGAGCGCCAAGCCCCCGGGCTCGTCCTCGAACTTCTCCCCGTAAATTGACTCTCCTCCTGTGCCGTTCTTATTGGAGAAGTCACCCCCCTGCATCATGAATCCCTTGATGACTCGATGGAAGGGACAACCCTGGGAGTGAAAGGAAGAGGAGAGATTAAAAATGGAGAGGGGAGAAGGGGGGAAAGAGAGGGGAGAAGAGGCGTAAAATGATAATTATCACTGGTAGATGGACTCTTCTCCTGTGTCCTTGTGATTGGAAAAGTTCCCCCCCCAGCATCATGAAACCCTTGATAACTCTGCGGAAGAGGGGACGGAAGAAAGGGTTGAGAAGAGAGAAAAGCGAAGAGAGGGGAGAAGCGACGTAGAATGGCGGGCCATTCAAGTGCAGTGAGACGTTCTGACGTCACTCTGCCATGAATCTAGAGATGATCATAACGTGCAGTGGAATAGTACGTTAATCGTTTATTCTGCAAAGACGACGGTTTACCACGAGGAATGTGGCACATCTCTTGCTGGAAAGAGGCCTTCACGCAATGAAATGAAAGGGATCAGAACAGCTCCTGTGATTTTTCAAACAATGAATCCTAGTGGAGAACAAGGCGCACCTTGAAGTGAAGAGGCAAGCCGGTGCTTGCGCCGACGCCCTTCTCCCCCGTGCAGAGCGCGCGGAAATTCTCGACCGTCTTGGGCGCAGCGTCCTTAAAGAGCTCCATCACGACGCGACCCTCCGGCTCTCCCGCGATCGACACGTCGAAGTACACGCGCGGATTCGCCATGCTCGCGGGATCGGAACGGATCGAGACACACAGACGATCGACGAGTTCTAGTTGACGAATTAACCAGCAAGCAGATCTAGTAATGGGTGGTAAGACCAAGGATTATCAGCGATCACAGGGTGTTGTTGGTTGTGATGAAGGTACCGTCGTTTTGGATGATCACGCACACATGTTTCCGGAATTTGGGCTGCTCGGCGGGAAATAGTTTGACGGAGGAATCTGGGTGTTGGAGATTCGAGAAGCTTCACCGCGACGCTTTTACGAGGAGAAACAAAGCTCAAGCGAAGAGACGTTGGATGCTGTAACCATCACACTGATTTTCGTCCTCCAGTAAATACAATCTTTGATGATCACAGCCACCTCGAACTTGTCTTTCTGCAAATCTGATCTGACAAGCAGGGTCATCAGGTTCGGTCTGTAGCTGTTCCCGTGGCGATTTAGGAGCTTCTGATTACGAAGGTAGATGACCTCTAGTAGTTAGTCTCAGCGCGTGACTGTAACGAATTCCGACTTCGGTTTAGTGAAAGATGGTATCGCGATTGAGCCCTTCCGTCCGTACCACTCTAGATCCACGTTCGTTGTACACTTCAACCTTCACAGCCATCAGAACCGCCTCTCACCGCATAACGGTATGTGATCGCGAATCGCATGCTCCATACGATCACCTGGGGGCCATACGCGCATTCGCACCTGTTACAGTCAAATCAGTCACTGTCACACCAGCAGATGCTGGGCTGTCGTATCAGCCAAAAAAACTGTCAGTACGTTGCCTTGAAACACGCTCAATAAGGGCATTCACCGGGTCGCAACGGTCAAATTTAACTATCAGAGAAAACCAGCACGCAATGGCAGGCTCCAGACCAGCAGCTGGGTCTTCTATGGGGTGGTTGGGCCATGATGGCCTAGACAAGGAAGCTCAAGGCAAGGAATCCAAAGGCACACAAGCGGATGAGCCGGAAGTTACCTTCTACACGCACGGCCTGTGTCCGTACGCGCAGCGAGTGGCGATCACGCTGGAGGCCAAGGGTACGCAGCATGCCCTTCCAAGTCTCGTGTTTTCTCTTTCCCCTACTTGTTACTTCCAACGGCATTCGCTCCGGCATTGCGACGGTTTTTCTGTCCGTTCCTTAGGTGCCCAGAGAATGTGAATTGTTGCGCCTAAAGAAGGACTTTTATTTTGTGCCTGTGGGCCAGGCGTGGACTACAAAAACGTTCACATTGACCTCTCCAACAAGCCTTCATGGTACCCTATTTGGTTACAAGTGACCCTTCTTTGCTGTTCACGGCACTCTCATGTTGCCGTTGACCCCTCTGTGTTTCCTCATATCCTCCTGTCTACGGGCACTACCGGCACATGCAGGTACTTGTCTGTGAATCCGCGCGGTCTGGTCCCGGCTGTGGCTGTGAGCGGCCAAGTGGTCACAGAGAGCACGGACATCTGCAGGTACCCACACCAGCACTCCCCTTCTCTGCATTTCTACCGTTTGCAAGAAGGGGATTTTTTCAATAACCATTTGATGACAGGTGAATTCGTTGAACACATATCATGCATGTGCAGGTTCCTGGATGAGTGCTTCCCCGCTGTGCCTCTAGTGCCGCCAGATGCAGAGAGCAGCAGAGCCATGGACCGCCTCATCAGCAAGGCCGACTCAATCATTCATGCTGTGAGTGTTTGATTTGACTTGAATCGATTTGGAAAAAGCCATTACTCACTTCCATCTGCGATCACGTTTCCCCGATTTCCCCCCTCTTGCCATCTCCTGTCGGCCAATTTTCCAACCGTTCTCCTACCTGTCATCCTCCGCAACCCCCCGACATAGGGGCAAACACACATCCATTCAATAGCAGACATGTCCCATCACCACACCAATCTCTCCCTCCTTCCTCCCCCCCTCATGCACCCCTTTCTCCTACACCCCCAGGGACTAGCAATGGTGGCAGGGTCTGAGAGGTTGTGGGCCATTGACACCAAGAGAGGCAGGAGAGGAGGGGGGAATGTGCGGGGACAAGGCGAGTGGAGGCAAGCTCTAGACTCGCTGGAAGAGGCTGTGTGCCAATCACAGGGGCCATTCTTGATGGGCGCAAACCTCTCTCTGGTACGTCAAATGTTGCTGCTTTGAATGGTGTTGCTGTATGGTTGGCTGCTTCTCATTCTCGCGTTACAAGGAGGCACGTGCGTGTAAAAAATGTTTATATGTGGTGTCTCAGTTTCCCAGCCCAGGCTCACCTGCTCCTTTCTCCACTCCACCTGTCTCCACTCCACCTGTCTCCACTCCACCTGTCTCCACTCCACCTGCCTCCACTCCAACCATGTCTCATGGCAGGCTGACGCGGTGCTCTTCCCCTTCCTCGCTCGCTTCCAGCTAGTCTCAGAGGGAATTCGAGGAGAACCCTTTGCTCCTGACCACCCGCTCGTCACCCAATGGATGGCCGCCATGTGGCAGCAGCCACCTGCCAGGCGCACGTTCCCTGATAAGGACCGGTTCCTGTTGGCGCTAAAGCAGTATGCCAGCCTTGACTACTTTGACTTCCACTCTGCTTCACTTGAAGACCCCGTTCCCAAATACTGGGTGTAGGTGTATACAACACATTTGTAGGTACAATGCGGTACTTGTGGGTTCTAATTACCTTCACACCAGCACCTTGCTGAGCTGCCAGCAAACGAATATGCTTGTATGAGGTCCCTGCAGGAGGCTGGGTGGGCTTCTGAAGCTGGTTCTGGTCGTCTTAGCCCTTCCCGCCTACATGGTTGATCTTCTGCGCATTGTACATCTGAGCAACCTGTTGGCATGGGGTGGCCACGCAGGACAGGACCACACACGTCAGACACACAACAGGAGACACACAGCTTAATGTAACCTCCTTTACTCGCTCTCAAAGCGCCGAAGAAACAGGCCAGGACACACAATGGCAGCACACAGCGAGCTGCAAGTCCTTGTGCCCATCACTATTGCTTGCACCTCTCAGACAGGCCAATTAGCATAAGGTGAGGTACCTGCTTGCTAGCTGCCACAGTGCTCCTGACTCTAATTCCCATGATGTTGCCTCCTCAAACCTTCAAATTGATTCCAGTTCAACAAAATCTCCAAATGCAACCCACCCACCCGTCCTGTGATGCTCACCTGTCCACTAGAAGTGCACATCCACTCTTCCCCCACTCTTCAACCCCCCTCCTCCCCCTTCCTTGCTCACCTGTTCACTGGAGGTAGCCTGCTCTGCGCTCTTATCATCTCGCAGCTTCAGGAACCGGGGGAAGCGCAGAGCGATCCCTTTCGTCTCATTCACGTGCCCTGCTGCCGCCAGGTGCACGGGACTAATGGACAAATCCGCCGCCCGCACCTCCCACACCTCTGACGGCTCGAACCACACTTCCACTCCTAGCGTCTCCCCATAGCGGTAGTAGGGCTGGGCGCAGGGAGGGCAGAGGAAGGAGCGGGGCACAGAGGAACGAGTTTAGCTTGGAGGAGGGAAGGGTCCGGCTGAAGGTTTAGGGCACACTTCGACTCCTAGTGTCTCCCCATCGCGGCAGGGCTTGGTGCGGGAGCAGACAAAGGGTTTGGAGTCAGAGAGGGGAAGAGTGGAGGGTAACACACACAAACACCACCATATGCCACTAAGACTGCGTTGAGCGAGAAAAGTGTTGCAATGATGGGCAAGGTACCAGACCACACCGCACCGCAACTCACCGCATCCCACCACACCACACCACAGCACACCGAACCACACGACACCCCACCATACCCCACCACTGCACTCACGGGCGGCTTGTCAATGACTCGCTTGCGCAGCGACGCAGATCGCTCCTCCAGCGCTGCTTCAGAGAAGCCGGTGCCGATCTTGCAGATGGACTGGTACTCCTCCGTGTCCGGGTCGTAGCACGCCAGGAGGAAGGCTCCAAACACACCTGTTGAGGCAGACGTAATAGAAGGCATAAACGCGTAATGTAAATAAGAGAGTCAGAAGGTCATGTTGCAGATGGATTGGTACTCCTCCGTGTCCGGGTCGTAGCACGCCAGGAGGAAGGCTCCAAACACACCTGTTGAGGCAGACGTAATAGAAGGCATAAACGCGTAATGTAAATAAGATAGTCAGAAGGTCATGTTGCAGATGGACTGGTACTCCTCCGTGTCCGGGTCGTAGCACGCCAGGAGGAAGGCTCCAAACACACCTGTTGAGGCAGACGTAATAGAAGGCATAAACGCGTAATGTAAATAAGAGAGTCAGAAGGTCATGTTGCAGATGGACTGGTACTCCTCCGTGTCGGGATCGTAACATGCGAGGAGGAAGGCCCCAAAGACAACTGTGGAAGTAGACGCGGTAGAGTCGTTAAAAGAAACAAGAGAGCAAAAAAAAAGCCACAACAGAACAGAGAGTTTGATCGTCATTCGAATGCACTGATGCTCCTTGGTGTCGGGCTGTAATAGGCATGGAACGCCCGTTGTTGAGGCGGGCACACGAGTTGATGAAACTCAATCATTGAAGGAGTGAAAGAATCTGAATGTAATTATGAATAGGAATGGCATCATTCACGTGCACAGCAGGCAAGGGAAGGCGGCAACCGCACCAATAAAAAACACACACACATTTTCACATGATTTTTCAAAACGACGTCATTCTGCAAATCGGTTGGGGTTGTAGCAGGGGAGTGGGAAGGCACCGTCCTCACTCTCATCTCGCAACCCACAACCCATCCCATCACCCCACCCCTCACCTGTTCGCTTGCCACGGCCGTGGAAGGCTCCAATGGGGACCAGGTCCAAGGAGTCGCCCAGCCTGGCAGTGGGGGGAGGCAGTGAGAGACATGATGGGGGAATGGGCGAAGAAGGGAGTGGGAGGGCGCATGGGCGAAGAGAAAATGACCATTCGAGGCACCACGTGGAAGGCTCCGATGGGAACGAGGTCCCAGGAGTCACCCAGCCTGGTGGATGCATGCAGGGTACAGAGTGAGGGAGGAGAGAAAGGGTGAGAACGGAGTGAGGGAGGAGAGAAAGGGTGAGAACGGAGTTAGGGAGGAGAGAAAGGGTGAGAACGGAGTTAGGGAGGAGAGAAAGGGTGAGAACGGAGTGAGGGAGGAGAGAAAGGGTGAGAACGGAGTGAGGGAGGAGAGAAAGGGTGAGAACGGAGTTAGGGAGGAGAGAAAGGGTGAGAACGGAGTTAGGGAGGAGAGAAAGGGTGAGAACGGAGTTAGGGAGGAGAGTAAGGGTGAGAACGGAGTTAGGGAAGAGAGTGAAGGATCACAAGCCACCACACCATGTGGAACGAACCTATGGGGACGAGGTCCAAGGAGTCACCCAAGTTGGTGGGGGGTGCATTTAGGGTATGATGGGTGGGAACGGAATGGGGGAGACGAGTGAGGGAGAAGAGTGAGGGATCACAAGACACCGCACCACATGGAACGGCCTGATGGGGTCAAGGTCCAAGGAGTCGGCCAGACTGGTGAGGGGCCCACGTCACTTGGGAGAATTCTCAAGGTGTGTGGCACTGACAGCTGTTGTGATCAACGTCAGTGCACTCTCACACAAGCACTCACATTCCCCTCACCCCACCACCACACACAAGCGATCGGCTCACACCACTCCCCACAGCAGCCCACCCTACCCTTCCATGTAGTCCTTCTTGAGCTTGAGCCAGTTGTTGCTCCTCTTGGCCGGCTCGTATGTCGCATCGACGTCCAGTGTCTTCACCATGGCACCCTCACAGCTGCCAGGAAAGGAGAGAAGGGGGGGGGGGGAGAGGTAAGGGGGTGGGGGAAAGAGGGTTTGGTATTATGGGCGCAAGCTTAGTCGCATCCACGTCCAGGGTCTTCACCATGGCGCCCTCACAGCTGCCACGGGGGGAGAAAGGCACAGAGAAGGGAGGTAAACGGCACAGATAATCTCTTGTAGCATAGTAAAACAGTTTCAACCTGGATCCAAAAGATTTTTTTTTTTTTTTTTTTTTTTTTTTGAATTCAATCCCATCAACTCACGGGGGTGGTGTATCCCCGTTTTTGAAACTTCGCTTTCACCAAGAGGTTACGTACCCTCTTTGGTAGGCGCCAACACACTAACATCCGTGGGAGGGAAATATATTGCAGCGAGTGTTTTTTGAGAATTCTCAAAAAACAAAGGCACAGAGAAGGGAGGTAAACGGCACAGAGAGTGACAGGACGCGGGCACACATGGAGTGCACCAAGACATAGCTCGTAACGTCCCATCCACATCCAGGGTCTTCACCATGGCGCCCTCGCAGCTGCCATGGGGGGAAACAGGGTAGTGGGAAGGAGGAGGGGTGGGCGAGGGAGAGGGAGATAAAGACAGCGTGGTTGACAACGCCCCTCACCTGTGGTTGACGGCGTCGTCAAAGAATGTCTGCAGCTCCTCCTCCTCCTTGCTGGTGGTGATGGCCGTGGCGAACTGGGCGGAAGGAACTGACATGAGACAGGCAGCTCATACCTCCAGACCCTATGATAGAACTAAAGCCCAACTTACGCACACCCCCCCCCCCCCCACCTGTGGTTGACGGCGTCGTCGAAGAACACCTGCAGCTCCTCCTCCTTGCTGGTCGTGATGGCCGTGGCGAACTGGAACTCGCCCTTGGCCGGCTCAAACGACTCCAGCAGCAGCTGGAGTGCAGGGGGAGAGAGAGATGAAGGAGACACGAGGGAGCGAGGAAAAGGCATGACTGCGAGTTCCATTTCAAGAGGCACCCGGAATCGTTTTGAATCTGGGTGTGGGGCATCGAGTTGCGTGGAATCACAGGCTTTCTTCCGAGCTTGCTGGAAGCACACAGACTTTTGAGGTGCCTCATACATTTTGAGGCACCTCGGTTCCGAGCTTGCTTGAAGCACGCCAAACTGCAACTCGCCGTTGGCTGGCTTAAAGGACTCGACTCGAGCAGCAGCTGGAGCGAGACACGTTGAAGGAGTTGGGAGCACCAGGGCCAAATCGAGGAACAAAGGGAAGAAAGCGAAGCAAACACGAGAGAGGCAAGGAATCACAGGCGAGGATCATCAGAGTGTCGTATCGACTCTCTTCAGAATCGTAAACAAAAATCATCACACCGCCTCGATTTTTGTTTCTCTTCTCTTCAGAAATCTCAAAACCCGCCCACAAAACTTTGCAGTGCCGTGGTGTTTCTGTTGTTACAACGAGTTGGATAGCGGCGGGAGAATACCGCTGGTTTCCATACAAAAAGAAAACAACAATCCTGGACTACCCTGTGCTGTGCTGTCTTGCCTCACCTCCCTCCGGCGCACGAGCTTCTCTGTGAGCAGCTGCTGGCCGTTGAGGTAGAGCAGGTCGAATGCAAACATGCACACCTGGTGGAGGGAAAGGAGAAGGGGGGAATTGGGGGTTGAGTTGTCAAAACAACGTCTCTTTGGCTGCTGGCCGTTGAGGTAGAGCAGATCGAATGCGAACATGCACACCTGGTGGGTGGGAGAGACGGGGAGGGGGAGAAAGGGAAGGGGAAGTAGGGGAGGAAGGGTGAGATGCCTCAAAAATGTATCTTCAGCTGCTGGCCGTTGAGGTAGAGCAGATCAAATGCAAACATGCACACCTGGTGGAGGGGAAGGGGAGGGGGTGGGGGAGGTGGAGGGGGTGGGGGAGGGGGAGGGGGTGGGGGAGGATGAGATGGAGAGGGACGAAAGTGAGAACAGCCGGGAACAGAGTAATTGATTACTTGAGTAGGTAAGATCTGAACACACACACACGCATACACTCGCGCACATGCACACACACACGCATATCACGACCACCCACCTGCAATTCGATGTTGCTCACACAACACCCCTTCCTCGCCTGCGTCGAGTTTTGAGTCGACTCAAAACTCGACTCACTACACACCTGCAATTCGATGTTGCTCACACAACGCCCTTCCTCGCCTGCGTGCTGCTGAGCACCTGGAAGGGCACCAATTGCTGCCAAGACAGCTTCCCATAGTGCCCTCTCTACGCGACCCACACATACACACACTCACCCCCCACCCCCGCACAAGCCATACCCCCACCCATCTGCACTTTGATGCCACTGACGGTGACACCCTTCCTCGCCCGTGCCCACACACACCCCCACCCCCCACTCCCGCGCCCAACCACACACCCCCGCACCCACCTGCACTTTAATGTCGCTCATAGTGACGCCCTTCCTTGCGCGTGTGCTGAGCACCTGGAAGGCAACAACTCGCCCGTTGTGACCTGTTCATAGTCCCACACGCCAATAGAAAACACTACCCACCCGCAAGAATACCAAAGCCACCCACACACCCACCTGCACTTTAATGTCGCTCATAATGACGCCCTTCCGCGCGCGTGTGCTGAGCACCTGGAAGGGCAGGATCTTGTCGCTCTCCCTGTCGTATGCCACCGCTTCTGCGTCCAGCACAAACGTCTCGACGTGACTTTTCTTGTGCCTGCAAGTTAAGGAGAGGGGAAACGGAGGAGACGTGAGCACCTGGAAGGGCAGGATCTTATCGCTCTCCCTGTCATATGCCACTGCCTCTGCATCCAACACAAACGTCTCCACATGGGCCTTCTTGTGCCTGGAAGTGACGCAAAGGAAATGTAGGTGGCAGAAGGGAAGGCTTTTAGCTGTATGAAGAATGCGTGCAACACAGGGGAGGCTTTCACACGGGCCTTCTTGTCCCTGAGTGATGCAGTGGGGGGCGAATTCCTCATTCTTGAACCGCGAGCACAAGGACTCAGAACCCCCCCATCATGAAATCACTTGTAAAAGGAAAATCTCAACACTGAGTCAAGCGGAGCGAGCTGGGGCTTACTTTTGCACGGCCTGCACGAGGTCTGGGAACTTGCCCGTGGTGCACTCCGCATTGCGGCTGTAGATCTGCACTGTGCCGTCCGCCAAGCCATGCACCTGATGCGAGGGAAGGCATAGGGGCAGTCGGATGGAAGCACAGGCGTCTACTTTCGAAACAGAGTCCAATCTCAGATGCATGTTGCGGCTCTAGATCTGGTTGGAAACAGGGAGCACTGGCATGGGAGAAATGGCATGGGATGATGGCATGGGGAATTGGGTGACGTGGGTTGGCATGGGGCATGCATGTCATGGGGGATAGAATAGCACGGAAAATGGACATTTACCTGCGTCCTCTCCCCGTCGCACTTATACTCGCACGTGAACGTGAGCCCCGCGTGGGAGTTTATCAAGTATCTCTGATATGCCCCACGTGGGCTTCGCTAGAATGGGCCTCACCGGCACTCCCAAGGTGAACAGATGTGCACGAGGGACGGCCCATATGGCACCTTGGAGGAGGAAGGAGTCAATTCACCCATTTCTTGCATATCACTTATCTCACCTGCGTCCTTTCCCCGTCGTACTTATACTCGCACGTGAACGTGAGCCCTTGAAGCTTGTCCAGAATCTCCGATATCCCCTGCGTGGGCTTGGCCAGCATGGGCCCCACCGGCACTCCCGGAGTGAACTGGCATGATTGGGGGACAGCCCATATGCTGCCTTGAAGGAGGAAGAGAAAACTCACCCATCTCACGTGTCTCACCTGTGTGCGTTCCCCGTCGTACTTGTACTCGCACGTGAACGTCAGTCCCTGGAGCTTATCCAATATCTCCGATATGCCTTTCGTGGGCTTGGCCAGCATGGGCCCCACCGGCACTCCCAGGGTGAACTGGCATGCTTCAGGCACGGCCCAGATGCCGTCTTTCAAGAGGGAAGGGACGACCTGGTCGTAGACGGGGAGGACTGAGTACGCATGCTTCATGATACGCACTGCCTGGGGGGTGTGGAGGGTGGGTGGTGAGGGAGTGGGAGATGGGAAACTGGGCAAAGGAGGCGTGGGGAATACATGGACGAGGAGGTGAGCAGGCCAGCATGGGGCCCACCGGCACTCCCAGCGTGATCTAGCACGTCTGGGGGACGGCCCAGATGCCGTCTTTCAAGAGAGACGGAACAACTTGGTCGTAGACGGGGAGGACTGAGTACGCATGCTTCATGATGCGCACTGCCTGGGGGGTGTGGAGGGTGGGTGGTGAGGGAGTGGGAGATGGGAAACTGGGCAAAGGAGGCGTGGGGAATACATGGACGAGGAGGTGAGCAGGCCAGCATGGGGCCCACCGGCACTCCCAGCGTGATCTAGCACGTCTGGGGGACGGCCCAGATGCCGTCTTTCAAGAGAGACGGAACAACTTGGTCGTAGACGGGGAGGACTGAGTACGCATGCTTCATGATGCGCACTGCCTGGGGGGTGTGGAGGGTGGGTGGTGAGGGAGTGGGAGATGGGAAACTGGGCAAAGGAGGCGTGGGGAATACATGGACGAGGAGGTGAGCAGGCCAGCATGGGGCCCACCGGCACTCCCAGCGTGATCTAGCACGTCTGGGGGACGGCCCAGATGCCGTCTTTCAAGAGAGACGGAACAACTTGGTCGTAGACGGGGAGGACTGAGTACGCATGCTTCATGATGCGCACTGCCTGGGGGGTGTGGAGGGTGGGTGGTGAGGGAGTGGGAGATGGGAAACTGGGCAAAGGAGGCGTGGGGAATACATGGACGAGGAGGTGAGCAGGCCAGCATGGGGCCCACCGGCACTCCCAGCGTGATCTAGCACGTCTGGGGGACGGCCCAGATGCCGTCTTTCAAGAGAGACGGAACAACTTGGTCGTAGACGGGGAGGACTGAATACGCATGCTTCATGATGCGCACTGCCTGGAGGGTGGGGGATGGGGAAGTGGAGAGGAGTGGGGGATGGGGGAGTGGGGAGGAGTGGGGGATGGGGGAGTGGGGAGGAGTGGGGGATGGGGGAGTGGGGAGGAGTGGGGGATGGGGGAGTGGGGAGGAGTGGGGGATGGGGGAGTGGGGAGGAGTGGGGGATGGGGGAGTGGGGAGGAGTGGGGGATGGGGGAGTGGGGAGGAGTGGGGGATGGGGGAGTGGGGAAAAGTGGGGGATGGGGGAGTGGGGAGGAGTGGGGGATGGGGGAGTGGGGAGAAGTGGGGGATGGGGGAGTGGGGAGGAGTGGGGGATGGGGGAGTGGGGAGGAGTGGGGGATGGGGGAGTGGGGAGGAGTGGGGGATGGGGGAGTGGGGAGGAGTGGGGGATGGGGGAGTGGGGAGGAGTGGGGGATGGGGGAGTGGGGGATGGGGGAGTGGAGGACGCATGAGGGACGGGGTTTAGCAGGCCAGCATGGGCCCCACCGGCGCGCTCAGGGTGAACTGTGACACGCCTGGGAGGACGGGATGACTCGGGACGACAGCGGGCCAGCGGCCCAACCCACCGGCTTTTGAGGCGCCTCAAAAGGCCCGACCCCACCAGCACTCATACGGCCAGCCGCCTTGCTTGGGAAAAGATGGATGCAATCAGTACCTACACATTTTCAGTTTTGAGACGTCTCAAAACCACATTTTCAGTTTTGAGACGTCTCAAAACCACATTTTCAGTTTTGAGACGTCTCAAAACCAGCCGCCTTGGGAAAAGATGGATGCAATCAGTACCTACCCATTTTCTCTGATCATCCTGGCTGTCATGTTTTGGGACAGTCTGAACTGAAGCACTCACCTCTTCCAGTCTTCCCGGTAATCGCGCCAGTTTCTCCCTCTTTGTAAGCACCTTGCTTCCTCGACCTTCCTCCCCCGGTGCTTTCACCTCACCCTCTCCCTCCGTCTCCCTATCGGCCCCTCCCCCAGTTGCCACATCACCATCACCATCACCATCACCATCACCACCAGCAGCACCACCGGCGCCCTCTCGGAAATCCTCGTGCATGACAGCAGCCTGCGCCAGGGCGGCAAGCACCGTCTGTTCTGCGAGCCCAATGCGCATCTTGCCCTGCAGCAGGCGCACTATGAACTGCGGCTCCTGCTGCCGTGCCGATACCAGCAGCTGCTTTATCCGCGCCCGCTTCTTCTCCACACTCTGACTGCCTGACTCCTGGGGGGAGCGGGAGAGGGGGGTGGGGGGGGGGAGAGGCAGGGCAGAGAAGGCACAGAGACACGGTCACAGGGAAGGAGGCGGGTGGGTGGGGGGCGTTCGGGGGAATGCATAGGTGAGGGGCTTCCTTCTTGGTGTGAGTCCGGTCCGATGCGCATCTTGCCCTGCAGCAGGCGGGCTATGGACTGCGGCTCCTGCTGCCGTGCCGATACCAGCAGCTGCTTTATGCGCGCCCGCTTCTTCTCCACACTCTGACTGCCCGATTCCTGGGGGGGAGAACACACGTGCATGCACTTGTTATCGTAACGCAGAGACAGACAGCCCACATCACAGCCGCAAAAGCACAAGCAACCACCCACTGCGTAAATATTTCAGCAATGGCAATCCCTGGTCGACAGGAGGAGGATGCTCACCTTGGCAATGAATCGGAAGGCCTCAAAGACCTTGTGACACGTGAGGGGCGCCGGCTGCATCACGCTTGCAACGTCTCAACCCTCTCTCATCCCATCCCAACAGCAGGCTCACCTTGGCGATGAATCGGAAGGCTTCAAAGACCTTGTGACACGTGAGGGGCGCCGGCTGCATCATCATGCGCTGCGTGGTGCGACTGGCCTTCGCCACCAGCCCCAGGTCGCCACACTCCTGTGAAAGCAAGTAAAAAAAACAAAAAAAAGGATTGAACATCTCAGAATACAAGGTTCTAAGGTTCGAAGCTCTAGGTAAGCAGGGAGCTGTGAGTTGTGACATCTCGGAAGTTCCGTCGTAAGGGTCAAGCCATGTAAGAGGCATGACGGCAATATGGCTACACTACCATGGCACAACCATGCTTGAAGCCATGAACCGGCACATATCTTCCAGCCCCTCTCTCCACCCCTTTGCACCACAGTTCATTCATTCCCATCTCACATACTGTGTACACCGATTCCACCACCACCTCTTACCTCTTCACGGCCTCGGAGCACGTATGATCTCCGGACTCTTGCTTGTATCACAGTTCACGCAGTCCCGTCTCACTTTCCTTTGTACTCCGACTTAACCACTGCCTCTTTCTTTGAGTCGACTCAAAAACAGACTCTTGCTTGTATCACAGTTCACGCAGTCCCGTCTCACTTTCCTTGTACTCCGACTTAACCACTGCCTCTATCCTCCCCGTCACCTCGGCCAGAGCGCAACAAACAGTGGCGTCACCAATTCATTCGTTCTCATTGTACCTACCTTGCACTCTGATTTCACCATTGCCTCTTTCCTTCTAATCACCTCAGCCAGAGCATGGATGATAGTCGCATCGCCGAACCCCTCCCCCGGCTCTTGCTTGCATCATAGTTCATTCAATTCCACCTCACGTACCTTATACTCCGACTTAACCACGGCCTCCTTCCTCCCGGTCGCCTCAGCCAGAGCACGGATGATAGTCGCATCGCCGATCCCCAGCTCCACACCCTCGTGAGGTGGCGCGACGCGATTGGCCGCCAGGTACACGATGGGCAGCAGATCGTCTGGTGACGTGGCCATGACTGTGCGGAACACGTTGCACATGATCTCTGTGATCGCCAGCCGTCCAGATTCAATGGATATTCCTGGAATGATGCATACGTGGCGGGAAGGGAAGGGAGGATGTTGGCAGTCTAGATTGACGAGCACCATGCTAACCCTGGTTGACTTGTTTCACAGCAATTAACCTAAAAATCTTGCCCTAATTCTCACTACAATGCCCACAACCCACAACCCACAGCCCACAGCACTCAGCCCATAGACCTCAACCCAGAACCCACAATCCAAATCCCAGAACCGACATACTGTCTAATGCCTGGGCAAGGTAGAGGAAAGGAACTTTCTCGCCGCTCTTCCACGTGGCAGCCGCCACCGGATCATACTGCACCAGCTTCGCTGCCAGCGCCACCAACCCATCGCCTGCTCCTCCTCCTGCGCCTCCTGCCCCCGCCCCCTTCCCCCTGGTTTTTCTCTTGGTTTTCGTTTCTGTGCGACCTTTTGCTTGCTTTAGGGCGTCAAAGGCGGTTTTGGCTTCCTCAGTCTCTGCTGCTGCGTCAACAGGCGTCTCTGCCAGGTCACTGCTGGCACTGTCCACGTCACTGTCCACGTCAGCACCGCCACTGGTGCTGCTGCTACTGCCGGATAATGCAGCACCCTTGCCGCCACTGCTGGCGCTGCTCTCACTGCTGCTGCTGCTTCTGCTGCTTCTGCTGCTGGTCCTGCGACGAGTGGTCTTTTGCTTCCCTCCCTCAGCAGCTAACTCAGCCGTCGCAGCAGCAGCATCCGTGGCCACAGCAGCTGCTGCACGTGCGTCGGTTGCAGCTTTACCAGCTGAAGCGGCTGTTTTCTTCCTTCCTCTGGCAGCAGTTGGCGACTTAGGCGTGGCAGCGGGGGTGGAAGTTCCTTTAACAACCGCAGCAGCAGCAGAAGCGACAGCAGACGCAGAAGCTTTGGTGGCGGCAGCAGCAGCGACCGCAGCAGGTGCTGCAGCAGCAGATTCCATTCCCTCCTCGCCTCCTTCCCTCCTTGCCTTCTTTGCACCCTCTCCCACCTCCCCCGTCCCTCCCGTCACCGCCCCACTCCCCTCTCCTTCACCTCCCCCTGCCCCTTGTCCCTTCGCCGTTCCCCGCGCCCCGTCCCCAACCTTTCTAAGCCGCTTCAACCGCCTAGCGCCAGCTCCGCCAGTCACTGCTTCCCCCGCTCCTCCCCCTGGGTTCCCCCCTCCGCCTTCCCTTCCCCCTACTGCTTCCGCGTCCGCCATCTCTTCCCCCCAAGCCTCCTCCGCCACTGCCTCCTCTGCGCGGATGCCTTCTTTCCCTGCAGTTGCCACTGCTCCATCCCCGTTTTCAGCAGCCCTTTTACTAGTCTGTGTCGGCACCGGAGCCTCTGCTGCTGCTGCTACTGACTCTAGAGGCTCCTTCTTCCTCAATACCGTTTCCTTCAACTCCTCGCTTGCTTTATCCACCGCACTGGGATTCGGTCTCTCGACCTCGGATTTACCCGCACCACCCTCAGCAGCGGCAGCAGCAGCAGCCTTTCCTTTTGCACCGAAAAACGAGGAGATGGATCTCTGGCCGCCCCCAGGTAAAGCCTTCCCCGCTGGTCCTGATGGGTCCTTGCCTCCGAAGAAAGAGGCAATGGACCGTTGACCGCGACCGTCAGCAGAGGCGGTAGCGCCAGGCTTCTTGGCACCGCTACCTCCCCGTCCCGCCTTCATCACAGCTGGCAGCTGGCTGCCGGTTAGCCGTTTGTTGACGGCTAGTTGGTGATTATCGACTGATGAGTGGAGAGAAGCTGGAGGTTTACAAATTGAAGGGAGTCGGCGGACGGATGGCGATCCCTGGAGAGGTGCTGCGCGGTGGAGAGCGGTGGCTCCTGCAGGTCGGATGTGACCCGGACGAGTAACTGTGACGACGGTCCGGCGGGGATGAGAGCTGAGACGCACTGCTTTGGCGCGCAAGGTGCGGAGGCTGGTAAAGCTTAAGCAGCTGCGCAAGTTTAGCGCTAAGCTCATGGAGAAACACGCCGTGACGGCAGCTAACGACCCCTGAGGACACCTTGCAACGAATGAGGACAGTCAAACCAAGCTGGACAATTCGGCTCTGGAGCACTTTGAAATTCGCCGCGAGCTTGAACGATTTGCGTTCGCCAGTGATGCTACGATCCACCGCTGGGTTGTTTATTAACGTAGACTCATCCGCTGCTTGCGCTTGAGTCGACTCACCAGTAGTTTACTCACTAGAATGATCTATTGTTTGCGTGAATGCTGTTGCTGAGTGAGTGACAATGGATCGACCAGTGCACTGCAACTCTCGTTGCTCGCAATGGTTCCTCCGAATCCCAGCAAATAGCGTGCCGCACTTCGAACGAACAAACGCAATGTGCGGGGACGAGAGGACTGCACGAGCCAAGCCTCGGAATGCTGTTGAGACAGGTAAATATTTTGGATGGGAAGGAGGTGGAGAGGGGAGAAATCGAGGAGATAGAAGCAAGCAGGCCTGATTTCTCCGAGTGAGTCTGTCTGACGCATGGGAGTTGGATTTCGCGCCAAAGCCCAAGGCGCGAAACCATCACTGTGCTACAGTGGCTTGCACTCCTCGATTTCGATAGTAGCAGACTGAATATTATTACTCCTCAGCTTCGTATATTTTGAAAATACTGTATAACATTCTCACAAATGCACAATTCGGAGTTTCCCTTCATATGCACCTGGTGTAGCTCCTTATCAGAGCAGTCGACAGAACCTGTCGCCGTCGAGCCGCATTTCCACGAGTCGCTAGGATAGCGACGTTTGCGCTAGAGATTCATTGAACCATGCGACCGAGCTTTTGCCAGTGAAACGGATAACAGATTTCCCGCCAAATGTGTACCAGTGAATGAGAACGAACTAGTATCTGACAATGCCGCGGTCAGTTGCCACGTCAGCTCCGCGCCTTCCCGCGCTTCTCGCGCGCCCACCCCTCCCGCTCATCATCGGCGCGCTTTTCGCGCTGCTTCTCCTAGGACTCTTCCTCTCCTCACCGCCCACCCCATCGCTACCGACAAGCGTCCCCGCCCAAGACAGGCTGGCGAACTTCCACCCTGTCAGCGAGGTAAATGGTGGGACCGCATAGGGGTGGTGGGGGAAGAAGTACGCAACGCAGAAGGCGGATGAGCACGCGACAACCCAATTGTTGCCACCACCACCACCCCAGTCACACTCACTCACTCCTGCGTTCCAAACCCCCTCTTCCTTCGCTCCCTCCAGGTGCGGTGGGCAATCATCGGGTGTGGCGACGTGACAGAGAAGAAATCCGGCCCGGCGCTCTCCCTCATTCCCTCCTCTCCCCCGCCCTCCTCCCACTGCCCACCTCATTCCCCCTCCTGCTCACTCCCACCACGGCCCATTCCCCTCCTCCCTTCAGGTGCGGTGGGCCATCATCGGGTGTGGCGACGTGACGGAGAAGAAATCCGGCCCGGCGCTCGCCCTCATTCCCTCCTCTCGCCTCGTGGCTGTCATGCGCCGCAACGCCACTCTGGCTCAGGACTATGCTCAACGCCACCACGTGCCCAGGTGGGGATGGGGAGAGCCCAGGTGGATATGGGGCGTGCCCAGGTGGGACCTTTAGGTGCTCCCCTGTAGGTGGGCAGGTGAGCAGGTGGGCAGGCGGGGGTCAGCTTTCGCCTTCATCCCCTCGTCTCGCCTTGTGGCTGTCATGCGCCGCAACGCCACCCTGGCTCAGGACTATGCTCAACGCCACCACGTGCCCAGGTGAGCGAGCAGGTGGAGGGGGAATGCAGGTGGGTGGGACAGAGTGCAGGTGGACAGGTGGGAATTGGCGCTCTCCCTCATTCCCTCCCCTCGCCTCGTCGCCGCCATGAGACGCAACGCCACTGTGGCTCAGGACTACGCTCAACAGTCAACGCCACCACGTGCCCAGGTGTGGCCTTTAGATATTCCCCTGTACGTGCCCCAGGTGAAGGCGAGCAGGTGGGGGTGAGCAGGTGGGCAGGTGAGTGCTGGGAGGCTTTCAAGTAGTGATACAAGGTGCATGCACGCACCCACGCACAGAACGTCAGGCTTAGTGGTGGGTCAGTCATGGAAGCATCTTGCACCCACTTCTCTCCTGCACCCACTTCTCTCCTGCACCCACTTCTCTCCTGCCCTTCAGCCACGAGTGCTGCTGGTAGATGGTGAACAAAGGACGGGACGGGCCACATAAGAACACAACTTACTATAGGTCTTCCTTCCTCAGGCTGAATCGTGTCCCTTGCACTTGCAAAGAAGACTTGGCTGCTGAGATGTCTTTTTACCTCATCTCAATATTTCTCCGTTTTGCACTTGCGCATGACTCCTGGCACTTGCGTACGGCATGGCATGGCATGGCAGGTGGTCAACGAACGCAGAGGAGACGATCAACGATGCCAATGTGAACGCGGTTTACATCGCCACTCCCCATCGATCACAAACACACAAACACACAAACACACACACACACACACACACACACACACACACACACACACACACACACACACACACACACACACACACACACACACACACCTCATACACAAACCCTTCGAAAGTGGCTGCTGTTTTGTCAGGGATGTGCTGTTTCAAACATGCTTGCGTGCCATCGCTCGCCATCACTCGTCATACATTTCGCCCACTCTGTGCCTGCCACGTGGCATGGGTGCAGATATGCCATCATGGCAGCGCAGGCAGGGAAGCCAGCCTACGTGGAGAAGCCAATGGGAATGAGCCACGTGGACAGCTCTGACATCCTCGCCGCCTTCCAGCGCGCCAAGCTGCCTCTCTTTGTCGCCTACTACCGCCGCGCCCTGCCCAACTTCCTCAGGGTGTGTCCCGAACCCGCCCTGATTGTTCTGAGTGTGCGAGACTGACATACGCCCCAGTCCATTCCAGAGAGGGCTGTCTGTTTGAGTCACCCTGCGCATATTGCCGAGTCCAGACACATCTTACTACCGCCACGCGCTGTCCAACTTCCTTAGAGTGCGCCTGGAGTATGCTCTAATCCACTAGGATGCATTCAAAGAAAGGCCCTGAGTCTTAGTATGTGAGTAAGTTGTCCAACACCGTACGCCTTCACACATCAACACCCTCCCTGCAGATCAAGGCCCTATTGGAGTCCGGTGCCATAGGGGACATCCTATCAGTGCAGGTGGTATACCACCGGCCGTGCTGGAGTCACCTTGAGAACTTCCAGTTGACCGCATTCACATCACCACCACCAACCAACCCTCTCAACCCTCCCTGCAGATCAAGGCCTTGTTGGAATCTGGAGCCATAGGGAACGTCCTGTCCGTACAGGTGGTATACCACCGGTCACCCAACAAGGCCCTCCCTCCCAACCCACCCAACCCTGCCAACCCCCCTTCACTGCAGATCAAGGCCTTATTGGAGTCCGGGGCCATAGGGGACATCCTGTCCGTGCAGGTGGTATACCACCGCCCGCCCAACAAGTACGACTACCAGTGGGCGCTCAGCGGGGTGCCGAGTCAGAAAGAACTACAGGCAATGCTGCAGGAACAGCAGCAGGAGCGGGAGCAAACACAACCACAGCACGTGCAGCAGCAGCAGCAGCAAGGGGGAGGGAACGGGGAGGGGAGTGAAGGCAGGGAGCAGAACCAGAGGCGGTACCCTCTCCGCCCCTTACCCCAGCACCACCCAGCAGGGGCGTCCCTCCACAACGCATCGCTCAAGTGGCGGGTTGACCCTCTCGTGGGCGGCCTGGGTGGCTATTTCCGCGACAAGGGCAGCCACCAGCTCGACCTGCTCGACTTCTGGTTCGGCCCCGTGGTGAGTGCAGATATGGGAGCGTCAGTAGTGGCGGTAGGTACCCTTGCCGTAGCCGCAGGCCCCCCCAGCATCACCCTGCAGGGGAGTCGCTCTGCAACGCGACTCTCAAGTGGCGGGTGGATCCGCTTGTGGGGGGACTGGGAGGGTACTTCCGCGACAAGGGCAGCCACCAGCTCGACTTGCTCGACTTCTGGTTCGGCCCCGTGGTGAGTGTGGGTGGGATGTGGTGGGTGGGGTGCGGTTGTAGTGAGTGAATGTGGGTGGACCTGCTTTTATATAACTCTCAAGAACACCTGCATGAATGTAAAGCACCCGCTACGACCTTGAAGCACCTACAACTCTAAAAAAATACCTGCTCTTGTGACGCACCACATGTGAACACTAGCTGCATTTCTCTGATACAGTCACCGCCCACTTCCGATTCGCCAGTGGAATCGTCGGCACGGGCAGCTGCAATTTCGCAGCAGCCAAATCCAGCCAGCAGGAGTACGGCGAGATCACGGGCAGCTCGGGCAGAATAAATTTCCAGTTTTTCCTCTCCAATAAGGTGGAGTTATGGAACGACACGGGGCACTATGAGTGGGATGACCCGAGCCCAGAGCACGTGCAACAGCCGTTGCTGGCGACAATAGTGTCGGCTCTCAGAGGTCAGGGCGAGTGTCCGAGTGTGGGAGAGAGTGCAATCCGAACGAGCTTCATTTTGGATAGAATTGTGAGCGGGGATAAGTGGCCGTGAAAATTTACGGTATGGATGCTGGACTAGATCGGCCCACTTTTCAAAATTGGCCATAAGTTTGGGGAGGGGGTAGGGGCTATGGCTGCTGGATTGGGTCATCAATTTGGGGTGGTGAGATTTTGAAGGGGGGGAGGGGTAGAAGATGCTAATGACAACGGGAGCATCTATAGCCTTTTACATTGTTGCAGTGTCCAAGATGTACAGTTGTAAATGGGTGTATATTCACTTGGCATATCCCTTCGTTAAGTATAGTTTGTTAATCGCATTCTTCCACAATAAGCACATCGTTATTGTGAAATTCATCAGCCGAGGCGCTTACGTTTTTGACTGCTGTTTCACACTTCAGTTCCAGCTGCTTTGCTGAGGCGGCGCTGTGCTGTGTGTGTACACGTCACGCGTGCATCCTGGTGGTGCGCCTTCAAATTGCATGGTCGGAAACGCTCAGCCCTCTCTAACAGCAGGCAGGCGGCGTCTGGAATCTAGCGCGCAATGTGTCGTCGTGTAGTGTTTGTTCAACTGTTTCAAGAAGGAGGTGCCACGCAGTTTTGGGACTGTGGGTTTGTTTTTTGTTTTCTTCTTGTCACCGCACAGCTCGCTGCGGGCGTCGCGAAATTTGTGCTACAGTTTCTTTATTTCAATTGTATCTTCTGCTTGACCCTCGAAAACCGCATTAGGGCTGCGTTCTGCAGGCGCATCAGCCCGCATCAATGTGCATTGCTACATTTAAGGATGGTTCCATGATCCTTTCTCGATAACCTGCCGACAGGTTATCAAGGCTCGCGATAAGCGCATTGCTGCCGAAGCAAACCAACGTCGAATGCCTGCAGAACAGTTTTTTTGGCCTTCGATAATTGAAATGTCGCCACGTTTCACGAAGTTTCCTGTCCTAGCGATCTGGCGCATCACCGCGCATCATGAGACCTCGAAAAATTGGATCATGCGCGCATCAGCTGATGCGCTGCAACCTCATTGGCCAATGTCTTTGGCACCTCAAAAAAATCCGCGAAATCTGGCTTCCTGGAAACCTGTAACACTTTGTCTGCTGAAATTCAATGTCGAAAATTTTAATGTCTCAATCCCGAACCTCAATGTCACGAAAGTCTCAAATGTCCGCATCAGCCCGAGCCTCAGACGCATGCGCCTGCAGAACGCAGCCTAGATGGTCCCCTCAAACCAATTTTCTTATATTCTTTACTGTAGTGGCTTTCCAAAACCTAAACAGCCCCACCCATTGGCTACTTTTCGACAAAAACTTGATCAAATGAGGGTGGTGTGAGTGTCGTGAATGGCCAACCTCTTTCTGGAATCGGGTAACAAATCAGTCTGACGAATCACGATTCACTAGTTTCCGGCGAATCAGAAGAGAACCTAGACAAATATCTCGTCAGGGCGGGTCATATGAGTTCGCTTAAATTGACTTCGAAAGTTTCATTCTGGTGCGCAATGGTCTAAAGCGGTGAAATTCGATCACCACGTCAAACCCTAAGTCATCGACCTATGTGGTGATCGACGTTATGTCATTGTCAACCTTCACTTCCTTGTCGCGATCTAGGTCTGCGTGTCATGTCAGCCCAGCCATCTCTCCTTGCCTGACGTTTCAGGGCATAATGTTTACTGTCATTCACTGCTCGTTTGAGATAGCTGCGTTTCCATGTCGTGTCACGTGTACCTTACTGCATTATGGATCGCACCGGAAAACCAGCTCGTTAGAGAAGGCATCGAAACGGGTTCCGAACGCTAAGCGGAAACAGCTCTGTTCTCTCCGACAACTCTCCCAACGTTACTCTAATGGCAGATTCCGACACCGACGCGAGACGAGCGGCGTCGTCAAACGGGGGTTTAGAAGTGGAGGAGGATTGCGAAGGCTTACTGACGGGGCGAGAAGAGATAGTACACTACGACCTGGGGGGTTGTTACCCATCTCTGAGCCCACAGCAGAAACGGCGACCTTTAGAGATTCGTAAACAAGCCACACGCGCCTTGACGTGCTTCAGCGGCAATGACAATGGCGCATTATGCGCATCGGCAGGGGAGAGCGAGAGGGAGATTTTTGAGTCGACTAAGAATTTTGTCGCCTTGTCGTGCTTCAGCGGCAATGACAATGGCGCATTATGCGCATCGGCCGGTGAGAGCGAGAGTGAGAACGAGGAGGAGGGGGCGAGAGAAGAGGGGAGGAAAGGCGCGAGTGAGAGTGGGAGAGACGATAGGAGTGATCTTGATTCGGCGGAGGGGTCGGAGGAGGCGGAGTGGGCGGATGGGGCGGAGTGGGCGGAGGGGACGGGGATGGCGGAGAGGGCGGAGAGGGCGGAGGGGAATGCGTCTGCCGATGGCGGGTATGCATTCCGCGGATGGGAATACGAGGCGGAGATGGCAATGCTGGCGGAATCGGTTGCGGAAGAGGGGATCGCGGAAAGGGGGATTGCGGAAGAGGCAAAAGGGCAGCATCGGGGGGAGTCGTGGCTGTGGAGTGTGGAGTGGTTCGTGTCGTGGCCGCTCAGGCGACTCAGCCACCCGTGGCGCAGGGTACGCCGTGATTAGTACGCACGCGTTGTGTGTGTGTGTGTGTGTGTGTGTGTGTGTGTGTGTGTGTGTGTGTGTGTGTGTGTGTGTGTGTGTGTGTGTGTTTGTGTGTGTGCGTGCGCGCGTGTGTCTGTGTGTGTGTGTGTGTGTGTGTGTGTGTGTTTGCGCGCGTGTGCGTGCGTGTGTGCGTGTGTGTGTGTGTGTGTAAGTGTGTGTGTGTGTGTGTGTGTGTGTCTGTGTGTGTGTGTGTGTGTGTGTGTGTGTGTGTGTGTGTGTGTTGGCCGAGCCGTTGACTTTTGAGTTGACTCAGCCATCCTCGGCGAAGGGTACGCCGTGAATAGTACCACGCGTGCTGGCCAAACCGTTGCCGTGCGTAGAGTTCGGATTCGTACGCCGTGCATGGCATTCTGATTTGTACGATGTTCGTTCGTACGTACTCTTTTGATCCGTGTGCCGTGCATGAAGTTCAGATTCTTTAAGCCCTGCGCTGTGTGTTAAACCGTACTCCCATGCGTAATGCCCTGATTCGTGCGCCGTGCGCAGTGTTCTGATTCTTACCCCGTTCACACTCCACTGCTTCGTACGCCGCGCATGCTCGCAGCTTCCCTGCTTCCTACGCCGTTCTCAGTGCGTGAAAGTCTGAGATGGTAGTTGACATCTCCCATGCCTCTGCTGTCACGTCGGTGCTCGGTGTAACGCCTCGGTGTCATGTCGGTGCTTGCTTCGTGCCTCTGCTTACACGTAGGGTGGAGGTGCATCCGCCTTGTTACCCACTGCGCCGTATTAACACCCTCGTTTTGACCCAGTGGGTAGCGAGGCGTGATGCTGGGGATAGATGCTTCCTGGCTAAGGCATTCCGGCCCTAGGGGTTCACAACCCCATGGCAGCATTCCGTGTGGCCGTGCGCGTGCGCGTGAGCGTGAGTGTGCGCGTGGCCGTGGGCGTAAGCGTGCGCATGCGCGTGGGTGCGGGTGTGGTTTGACTCGAGGGATGACGGACTCTCAGAGTCATGTGCCTCTTCCCCTCTTTCCCAAGATCATCACTCACACTCTCCCCGTCCTCCTCTCCCTCCTCCCCCTCTGCCTGCCCCGCTCCCCCCTTTTCCTCTCAGAGTCTGCTGCGGGTGGGTGTGGGTGCAGCTGTCTTCTCAGCGTCTCTCCAGTGGTCACACCCTCTCTCCCCCTCTCTCCACCCCTTCCTCCCCCTCCTCCGCCTCCTTCCGCCCCCTCCCCCACCACCTTCCTCCTCGCTTGTGTATGCAGTGGCATGGCAGCACACGGAGGCAGACGAGAGGGTCCACACGCACAGCCACCTGATTTCTGCTTCCCCCTCTGCTCACGCCCCTCTTCCAACCTCCCCCTTCGCCTTCCTCCTTCACCCTCCCCCTTCTCCCTCCCCCTTACTCTCTCTCAAACCCCCCCCCCCCCCCCCCCCCCCCCCCCGACCACCCCGCTCCCGCGGCCATCCTGTTTCCTCACCGTCCCTCCCTCCCATGATCGCACCCTCCCCCGTACCCTCTCTCCTCTCCCTCCCCCTCTTCAGCGTCTGATGTGGGTGTGGGTGCTGTTGGCAGTGGCCATCCTGTCGCTGGTGTTTGCAGTGGCATGGCAGCATGCGCACGCGAACGAGAGGGACGACCTGGAGGGGCACTGCGACGAGTGGGCCACGTTCATCGAGGCCAAGTTCAACATCACCGCCGCCAACACACGCTCGATTTCTGATTTCATCCGCGCCTACTACCTCAATAAGTACGGCCACAGCAGGCGTCCAGTAAGGCTGGACAGCCGTGCGCGCTTGCTTTGTTTTTCCTGTGCTGGGAATATCTTGCGTTGATTTCAACCGCGCCTAATACCTTGATGGATTAGTGCGGGCAGCCGTGTGCGTTCTTTGCTTTGCTTCACTTCACCTATTCTCTGTATGCCTGCTTTGCTTCGCTTCGCCTATTCTCCGCATGCTTGCTTTGCTTCTCTTCGCTTCGCCTATTCTCCGTATGCTTGCTTTTCTTTGCTTTGCTTCGCCTATTCTCTGTGTCCTTGCTCTACTCCTCCACAGTCCACTGCTGGGATTCTCCATCTTCAGGCACACAACACGCCCTCTCCACCATGGTCCTCGTTGGGTCATGAAAATTCTCAGAACCAACTGGCGTCATGCACACTCACACCAACTCCAATTTGAGACGTCTAAAAACTGGCGTCATGCACTCTCACACCTACTCCAGCACAGTAACTGAGTTCCCCATCCACTTGTCTGGCTGTTGCCTCTGCAGCACGATAGCTGAATAACTTTTGAGAATTCTCAAAAGCGAGATAAGAATGTCTTCGCCCAACGGATTTGCTCAGCTAGCACCCTCTATACGGACCACTTAAGCTCCACACCATCCGATTGAACCTCTCTGCTTGTCCCTAAGAGCACGTCCCTCCTCACTCCCCTTCCACCCACCCCTCCACCGAACCTGCCCTACCATCTGCCTGACACGCAATCCCCTGGGGCAAGCAGCGTGAAGGAGGACATTTTTGACGTGGCCAATTTCCCAACGCTTCACTCACGCTACTCTCGACTTTTGAGTCGACTAAAGAATCTATCCCTTTTGCATTCTCCCCTCTCCCCTGTCCCTACCACCCACCCCTCCACCGAACCTGCCCGATCACCTGCCTGACACGACCCCTCCCCCCCCGGGTAAGCAGCATGAAGGAGGACTTGCTTGGCGTGCCCAAATTCCAACGCTTCACTCAGGCGACTCTCGACAGCCGACCCATGGCGTCATGTAAGTTGCATGCGATATGTTCCATGGCATCGTGTGAGGCACATATGGTCTGACCCATGGCATCATGTGAGGCACATGCGGTCGGACCCATGGCATCATGTGAGGCACATGCAGTCTTACCCATGGCATCGTATGAGTCACATGCGGTCTGACCCATGGCATCGTGTGAGTCACATGCGGTCTGACCCATGGCATCGTGTGAGTCATATGTGGTCTGACCCATGGCATCATGTGAGGCCCATATACATGGGCATTGACCCGACCCGTCCCAACCCGTCCCGTCCAGGTCGACCCGAGGCAGGTTCGGGACGGGTCGGGTCGGGTCGGCGGGTCAAGAATGGCCCTATTTAGGATACTCGAGTCGCAATAGGGGCTCGGGTATCTGTGACCCGACCTCGAGTGGTGTGTACCTCGGGTCAGGTCGTGTTGGGTAATTATACCTGAGAAATCTCGCCCGCTGATCCACGCTGATCGGCAATTGCGCGGATCGGCGATTTTCCCCGCATATCCGCGCGAATCGGCGATTTCCCCCGCATACCGCGAGGACCGGCGATTTCCTTGCAGATTTGCGCAGATACGTGCGGATTCGCGAATTTACCTGCATATCTGCGCGGATCGGCAATTTCCCCCCAGATCCGCGCACATCGGCGAAGTTTCCCGCAGATCCGCGCGGATCGGCGATTTTTCCTGCAGAAGGGAAGGGGGGAAAGGCTATCCCTAAAGGAAATCTCACTTAGAAAGTGTCTTCAGAATCCAACTCGAAATGTGAATTGCCCCAATTCATCCCAACCAGTCCACCACCCCCAACCGCACTATACCGAATTTCCTCTACCAAACCCAACCTTTCCTCTTCACGCTGATGGTTTACACGTCTCCCCTTCCACTCACGTTTCTGTCGCTACTTCCCTTCCCCTAGTCCTGTCACCTAGCGTAGCTCTCACTTACCATAACCCATCGAATCCAGTTGTGACCCGTCAGCATTACCCGGGGAAAATAAGCCATTTCGGGTCACAGGTCGACCCGACCCGGCCGTGTAAGGCCGACCCGACCCGGCCAGGTCGAGGGCATCCGTACCCCTGACCTGACCCGGCCAAAAGTCGGGTCGGGTCGGGTTACCCGACCCGACCGTGTCAAATTCCCATGTCTAGAGGCACATGTGGTCTGACCCATGGCATCGTGTAAGGCACATCATGCTAGCTGCAACTGACTAGTTGACTCTCATCCATGGCGTCATGTGAGTTGCATGTGGTGTAACTTGATAGGATTAAGGACGGGGTCTTGATAGATTAGGGGGTCGAAATAACTTAAAATCGTAGACTATGTTTATGGACAGAAACGTCGTATTCACAAGAAACGTCGCGGACGAAAAACTAACCGTTAGAACCTTAGCTATCATTCCCAATTTGAATCATAACAAGATGTGAAGTATATCTCGAGATATGAATTTTGGCGCATTGAGGGGTATGTTGTAGCTGAAAATTAACTCAATCTCAATAGTTCATTCAAAAATCACACAAAGAGTTAAATGAGCAAGAAACCAGGTGGGAGAGGATGAAGGGGACGAGAGAGAATGTCTTAGAGAGTTTCCAACCAAGAAAACCATAAGCACACACAATCTCATTTGTATAGAAATCCAACTTTGACATCTGTCATTTTCCCAACCCATTCAATCCATCTCACCCAAATTGACCACAACTTATCAACCTGGTTTGGTTTCTCCAAACCATTTGACAGCAACTACAGTAAAGTGACGAATTTCTCAACCCCCAGGTTTATACCCCTCATAGAGTCACCTTACATCTCATGACTCGCCGCAACTATAAATCAAGGGCATACGAATTTCAATCGTTCGTAACTATCTCGTTCTTGCTCCGATTGAGGCGATTTTTGGTTAGCCGGAAATCTCTTGAATAGTGAAGTTTTTTTCATACTCTTGCTTAAGCAAAACAAAATCACATACTCTCATAACATCCAAACCACATCAAACACAAAGTATATCGCACACGCACACCACGCATGCAAGGTAGAAACATATGATGGATGCAGACAGATGTGAATGCACATGATGGCATTACACAACATAATTGACCCATGACATCATTTGTCACGTGTCGTCTGACTGACCCATATTCCACTTGAATCAATAAATGACAACTATATCGCCTTTTTTTTTTTTTTATTAGATGCATGCTTCGAAAAATCATGATTATTAATCAATGCTACCTTAAGTAAAAGATTATTAGCAGCACTACTTAGGTTATCAAATATCGTTCCTAGCTGTTCTTTAGTCCGTTTTACTTCGTCACTTACAACAAGCATTTTTGTATATTCCTCAATACTTAAATATCGATTATTTTGTAATCAAGTTCCTCGAATTATAGGAATTGGATAATCCAAAACATTTGCAAGTATTTTTGTTTACATCTCTTAACTTATAGTTGGGTATATATTTTTTCAATAATTCCTAGTGCTTCTATTCTTTAAAAAATCTTTATGTTGAAAATACCGATAAATCCTTGCTTGGTAAAGTTGTTAACGTAAAAGTTACCAAAGCTCTTGCAACAAGTGTAGTTGGAGAATTAGTGTGAAGGTTATTTATTGGAAGAGTAGTTCGTTCCATCTGACCCATGGCATCATTTGTCACGTGCCGTCTGATCCATGGCATCATCTGTCTTGCGCCGTCTGACCCATGACATCATTTGTCACGTGCTGTCTGACCCATGGCATCATTTGTCATGTGCCGTTTGACCCATGGCATCATTTGTCACGGGTCGTCTGACCAATGGCATCATTCGTCACGTGTAGTCTGATCGACCCATGGCATCATGTGACTTGTATTTGAGTCACATCAGAGCTGTCCGAAGGGATTGTTTGACTTCTCTGTTTCTCCCTTCTTCCCTCCCTGTTCCTCTTGTCCCAACCACTTCCCCCCCCTGCGTTTTCTCGGTGACCCCCCTAGGTTATGCTTCACTCTGTCTCTCCAGTCGTGGGCTTCATTTGAGACGTGCTTGAGACAAACGCCAACTACTGCATCCACGCCCCCTATTGACTCCACTCCGACCCATCTATTATGTTTTCCGCTGTGTTTCCCCCTGTTTCCACCCCTGTTTCCCTCCTCACTTTCCCCCACATTCCCCAACACTCTGCTGTTGCAGTCGTGGACTTTTGAGACGTGCTAGAGTACAAACGCCAACCACTGCATCCACGCGCCCTAGTGACTCCACTCCGACCCATCTGTTCCATTCCCCAATGCTCTGCTGTGCCAGTTGCGGGCTTCATTCTGCTCAGCAACAACACGATCATTCGGGACATGGTGAAGTTCAATTCCAACAACTGCAACTTTTCATTCAACCCAACGACACACTCTCTGTTTCTCCCTGTGCCCCCCCCCCCCCCCCCCTCGTTTCCCCCCTGTGTCCCTTGTAGTCGTGGGCTTCACTATGCTGGTCAACAACACGTTCATTCGCGACATGGTGGAGACCAACGCCCACCACTGCGTCTTCGTTCCGCAGCCCAACGGCACGCTCTCCTGTGCTCTTCCCCCCCGTTCCCCCCTGTGTTCCCTGTAGTCGTGGGCTTCACTCTGCTGGTCAACAACACGTTCATTCGGGACATGGTGGAGAAAAACGCCAACCACTGCATCTTCGCCCCAGAGCCCGACGACACGCTCTCCTGCCGCCCGCGCGACCTGCCCCTGTACGCGCCACTCGTCATCTTCAACACTCGGAAGGGGTTCTACCCGCGCGTGAACCTCACTGCAGTCTGCTGCAACGACCTCATGGCAGGTGATTGGAAAGCTGACTTTTGAGTCGACTCAAAAGTGAACCTCACTGCAGTCTGCTGCAACGACCTCATGGCAGGTGATTGGAAAGCTGAATTTTGAGTCGACTCAAAAGTGAACCTCACTGCAGTCTCCTGCAACAACCTCATGGCAGGTGATTGGAAAGCTGACTTTTGAGTCGACTCAAAAGTAAACCTCACTGCAGTCTGCTGCAGCGACCTCATGGCAGGTGATTGGAAAGGCCGGACCGGTGCCAGTAAGACTGCCTTCAATTCCCAGTTGAAGATAAACTTGAATGAATAGTCTTCTAGTAAGCCACGCCACGTGATGATAAAATTGTTTTGAGACGTCTCAAAACAAATTCATTTTCTTCTAGTAAGGCAGCAAGTCGGTTTCATGAAGGCATGTGGGAAGCAGTAGCGCGCATGGGGTTTGTAAGTAACAAGAAGCAAAGCAAGCAGCCGAAAAAAAAAAAAGGAACTCTCTTGCTCATTCCTGTAGTTCTCGTTCAACGCGCTACTGCCCCATCCCCTGCCTCCACTTTCCCGTCCCCGGTCCTCCTTGCCCTCCCACTGCTCCTCTCAGGCACTGTGGTGAACGATACGATACACCGGGTCATTGATCCACCAAGCTCCTCCGCCATGTCCCCAAGAGATGTTTGAGATAAAGAATCTTCCCCCTTCGCTCCTCCACCCTGTCCTCCTTCCCCGCTGCCTCCCACCGCCCCTCTCAAACCCAGTGGTGAAAGATACAATACACCACGCCATCGATTAATTCGGCCTCCTCCGCAATGTTCCTGGCAGTTTCTTGATTAGTCACCCCCTTCTCCCCCCCACTCTCCAACCTCCTTCCCTGCCTCCCCACTGTCTCCCACCTCATCCCACCGCCTCTCACCGCCCCTCTCAGACCCAGCTTTTAACGACACGTTCCACCGGGCCATCGACTCAGCGTCCTCTGCCATGTCTCCGCCCTTCATGCGCGACAACTACCCCTACCACTTTATAGGAGATGTCTTCCCAGTCTACTTCAACCTCACCACCTTCGCCCTGCCCCCCGCGCCCTCCCCTCCCTCCGTCGCCATCCCCCCGCTCGCCACCCCTGAGGACCTCCCAAGGGGGTTTGTCATCGCGGGGTATAACTTTGCAAACCTGAGATCGCTTGTGGGGTTTCAGCAGCTGGTGGAGCTGAACGCAAGGGTTTATCTGGTGGATGGGACGAGGGGTGGCGCTTGGGATGGTGCACAGAATAAGAATGCGCGGAATGGGGATGGGGGGGATGGGAGGGCTAGTAGGTGGTTGCCTGCGTTGCTGTTTGATCATGAGGGGGTGGTGGGTGAGGAGGAGATTGGAGCGTGGATGATGGATGGGGAGGGGCAGGAGGAAGACGGGAGAGTGCGACGGACGTTGCACATGGGTGATCCGACAAGAAAGTTCTATATTTTCTGCGAGTGAGTTGATGTGTACATGCTCCTCCCTTCGCACCATGCTCCTCTCTTCTCACCATGCTCCTCCCTTCGCAACATGCTCCTCCCTCCCACCCCCACCCTCCTCACCCTCCCCCTCGCCCCTTCCCTCCATCCCACTACACGCACATCTCCTAGAGTAGGCTGTTCAGTCCCATTGTGTGGATCGTGGTGGCTATTTTCGTGGCCTGTCAAATGCCGCCCTCCTTGTTCGCCCCTCACCCCCCACCCCATTCCACCACATGCACATGTACTCCAGCCGTTTGGTCCCTTGGTGTGGATCGTGGTGGTGGTGCTGTTCCCAGCTATCTCCACCATCCTCCTCTAGACCCGCAACGCAACCACCTCATGCACGCCTTTGACTGCGACTGCCACCACCTCTCTGTGCCACAGCATGAGCTCCTCGCCTCCCACCCTCTCCCTCCCCCCAACCCCCCCTCCATCCCACTACAGGCTCATGTCCCTTCCCCGCACCACCCCCTCCCTCTCTCCCCCCCCTCCCTCCCTCTCCCCCCCTCCCACCTCTCGCCCCCCATCCCACCACAGGCACATCTCATACACCAAGCCGTTCAGCCCGTTTATCTGGATCATCGTGGCCGCACTCTTCCTCTCCGTCTCCACCATCCTCCTCTGGACGTGCATCCAGCTCATGCACGCCTTTGAGTGCGACTGTCAGCACCTAGCTGCCGCCCAACATGAGCTGCGTGCCGCCCGCTTGGAGGCCGAGGCGGCGAGTCGAGCCAAAAGCGCGTTCCTCACGACGATGTCGCACGAGATCCGCACACCCATGAACGGCGTTATAGGTAACGTGGTAACATGGTGATGCAATAACGTGGTAAGGCCGTAGCGTGATATTGTGGTACCAATCACTGTTGTCTGGACGAGAGATAATTTCATTCGTGAAATTACAAGATCGGTTCATCAAACCCATGATGAACGTTTGTGGGTTTTATCATTTGGTTGTATATGTAACGGCTCGATGTACTGCGAAATGACTGAAAAGGAACAGCAAAAAAACCTGGATGACAAGGAGTGAAGCTGATCAACATGAGCAAAGGTATGAGCAAATGTTATATAGCGAAAACTTTTGGTAACGAAAACGAGCGAACACGACGAACCTAGCGCCGAGGTTGGGAAAATGCCTGAGTCGTAGGGCCGGGCCGTAGGTTACCAGCTGGTATGGGCGCGATGGTCGTGATGGCGGGAACAGTACTCGAGACGAATGTCGTTAGGTGGTAACGGAACAGTGTTCGGTCGTGTTGGCGGGAAGTGAGGTGACGCGAAGTAAGGAAAAGTTAGTTTCCTTACATCTGGAATTCCTTTAGCTCCTGTTGTTACAATGTATATAGCGCGCACAATGTTACGACGAAACGCACATTTCATTATATCTGCAAATGCGTCAAGCGAAAACAACAAAAACTAACAGATGCACAAACTCACTTTGCAGATGCAAACACATTACATACTGTTACAAACAGACATCATGATGTCGTGTTTAGTGAAGTGAGCACATAGCAATCTGTTATTGGAAACTCATCTAGACAAGCTGACTGCTGTCTCTTCCCCCCCCTTCTCTCTCCCTTTCCTTCCCCCCTTCGTCTCCCCACCAGGCATGCTGAATCTACTGATGGAGACTCCTCTAGATAGGTCGCAGCAGGACTACGCAGAGACGGCGTGCAGCAGCGGGCGGGCGCTGTGTGCACTGATCAACGACATTCTCGACCTCTCCAAGATCGAGGCCGAGAAGCTCCGCCTCGAGCGCATCCCGCTCAACCTGCGCGCCGAGCTCGACGACGTGCTCGCACTCTTTGTGGAGAGCGCCCAGGAGAAGCGCTGCGTGGAGCTCGCCGCGTTTGTCGCCGACGACGTGCCGGAGATGCTCGTGGGGGATCCGCTACGGGTGAAGCAGGTGTGTTGAAGGGCAGGTGCTTAGAAAGGGCAGAAAGCATGGAATGATCAGGGGACCTGCTTCGAATCCCCCGCTTCCTGCACTCTTTGTCGGGGCGTCGAGGATAAGCACCTCGAGTATAAAGCCGAAACCCTCGACGAGAAGGGGCAGGTGCTTATAGGGTCATGGATGGGTGCATGGCAGGGTCAGGTCGTGGCTGCTTGTGAAGCCGTTTCGGTTGAATTCCTAGGCTCATTACATTCTCTGCACCTTCCCCTTGTCACGCATGTGCACATGCTATGTTTCATCTCTTCCTCTCTGCTTCAGATCCTGATCAACCTGATAAGCAACGCATTCAAGTTCACCACCCAAGGCCATGTCTTCATTGCGGTGCGTGTCGCAACCACCACCGACAGCACCAGCAGCCCCGCCCCCCTGCCGCTGCTCTCCCCTTCTTCCTCCACTTCCTCACCATCACCATCAGCATCACCCTCACCACCACCCTCACCATCACCATCACCATTACCATCCTCGTCACCTCGCTCCAAAGCTTCTGCCAGCAGGCACCAATCCCTTGACAATGGCTTTGGCAAGGCAAGCAGGCTGGGAGAGGGGAAAGATGCTGATGAAATTTCTGAGGAGCACCCTTCAAGCATGTGTTCAGCAGGGAGGGATCCTTGTCCACGTGTTGCTGCCTCTGCTGCTGTAAAAGGGAGGACTGGACCTGCTGGGGATGATGGCGATGCTGACGCTGGTGGCAACACCTGCATGGGTGGCAGTGTGGCCACTACTGCTGGTGGTGTGGGCGCTAGTGGCGGCAGTAGATCCATTGTGGAGGCATCTGCTAAGCGTGCACGATTGACGTTGAGTGGCCGGCCAGCCATGCAGTCGTGGTGCTCGTGGGAGGGCATGCGGGAGCACATGGACCTTGCTGCCGTGGGCATGGCCAAGGGATATGGGGAGGGATATTCTGATGGGCATGGCGATGGGCATGGCGATGGGGATGGCGATGGGCATCGTGATGATGGTGGCTGTCGCATCGTGGGACCCGACCAGCTGGTGCGCCTGATGGTGGCTGTGGAAGACACAGGTACGCTTTCATTGCGCTTGTGTGTGTGTGTGTGTGTGTGTGTGTGTGTTTGTGTGTGTGTGTGTGTGTGTGTGTGTGTGTGGATGTGTGTGCGCGTTCGGGCATGTGTGTTTGTGTGTGTTTCTATGTGTGTGTGTGTGTGTGCGTGTGGATGTGTGTGCGCGTTCGGGCATGTGTGTGTGTGTGTGTTTCTGTGTGTGTGTGTGTGTGTGTGTGTGTGGATGTGTGTGCACGTTCGGGCATGTGTGTGTGTGTGTGTGTGTGTGTATTTCTGTGTGTGTATGTGTGTGCGCGTGCGGGCGTGCGTGCGCGCGCACGTGCGTGTTTTGCTTGGTATCTCTCATGCTCCCAAGTGCTACAGTACCGCCTGCCACACTCTCTCCCTACATGCCACACTCTCTCCCCACATGCCACACTCTCTCCCTACATGCCACACTCTCTCCCCACATGCCACACTCTCTCCCCACATGCCACACTCTCTCCCCACATGCCACACTCTCTCCCCACATGCCACACTCTCTCCCCACATGCCACACTCTCTCCCCACATGCCACACTCTCTCCCCACATGCCACACTCTCTCCCCACATGCCACACTCTCTCCCTACATGCCACACAGGATGTCGTGAAAAACTGGGCAACGACATCTGCCCTGTGCCTCCTCCTTTTCCTAAACCGCTCGTTCACATTCCCTGTCCTAAACCTCTCCTTCACCTTCCCTGGCAATCGCTGCCACCTTCCCATGCCTGTGCTCTTCTTCCTGCAGGTACCGGCATCCCACGCCACGCTCGGAGGCACATCTTCCGGCCGTACGCGCAGGCAGAGCGCAGCACGGCACGGCTGCACGGGGGGACTCGCATCGGCCTCTCCATCTGCAAGGTGGGTTGCGCTGCGCTGGTGCGAGGTGCGTTGTGTTGGGACAGCTGTGCTAAGTACATTGCATCGAGATACACCTGCCTTGCAAGGTACTGTGCGCTGAGACACATGCGTTGCCCTTCACATCCCTCCCTTGCCCCTCCCACTCCCCAGTCCCTGCAGCGCCTGGTGTCGCTGATGGGCGGATCCATCTCGTTCGTCACCAAGCTATCTCCACCTGTCCGTATCCCTCCTAATCTCGCTCTGTCCCGCCTTCCCTCCCCTCCCTTCCACTCGCGCATTTGAGCAGCGCCTGGTGTCGCTGATGGGCGGATCCATCTCGTTCGTCACCAAGCTATCTCCACCTGCCCGTATCCCTCCTAATCTCGCTCTGTCCCGCCTTCCCTCCCCTCCCTTCCACTCGCCCATTTGAGCAGCGCCTGGTGTCGCTGATGGGCGGATCCATCTCGTTCGTCACCAAGCTATCTCCACCTGTCCGTATCCCTCCTAATCTCGCTCTGTCCCGCCTTCCCTCCCCTCCCTTCCACTCGCCCATTTGAGCAGCGCCTGGTGTCGCTGATGGGCGGATCCATCTCGTTCGTCACCAAGCTATCTCCACCTGCCCGTATCCCTCCTAATCTCGCTCTGTCCCGCCTTCCCTCCCCTCCCTTCCACTCGCCCATTTGAGCAGCGCCTGGTGTCGCTGATGGGCGGATCCATCTCGTTCGTCACCAAGCTATCTCCACCTGTCCGTATCCCTCCTAATCTCGCTCTGTCCCGCCTTCCCTCCCCTCCCTTCCACTCGCCCATTTGAGCAGCGCCTGGTGTCGCTGATGGGCGGATCCATCTCGTTCGTCACCAAGCTATCTCCACCTGTCCGTATCCCTCCTAATCTCGCTCTGTCCCGCCTTCCCTCCCCTCCCTTCCACTCGCCCATTTGAGCAGCGCCTGGTGTCGCTGATGGGCGGATCCATCTTGTTCGTCACCAAGCTATCTCCATCTGCCCGTATCCCTCCTAATCTCGCTCTGTCCCGCCTTCCCTCCCCTCCCTTCCACTCGCCTATTTGAGCAGCGCCTGGTGTCGCTGATGGGCGGATCCATCTCCTTTGTCTCAAAGCCAGGCGTCGGCACCACCTTCCTCTTTGATATCCTCCTCCACACACCCCCTCTCCCTCACCCTCCTCCCTCTCCTCCTCCTCTCCCTGAACCTCGCACTCCTCCTCAACACCACACTCCAGCCTCCCTGAAATTCCCTGCCATCCGTTCTAGCACTCCCTTCATCCCCTCTCCTCCTCCCCCTCAAAGCTCATGCCACTTCCCCCCTGAACCCACAAACCACCAGCCACTGCAACGGCAGCCGCAGCAGCAGAAGGGAGGATGTGGGTTACAGAGTGAGAATGCTGGGAGTGGTGGGAATGACGGGAGGGCAACACAGGGTTGGGAGGGAGTGTGTGTGGTGAGTGTGGACGACCGGCCGGTGCGGCATGCCGTCACTCTCTCTCTGCTGCGCCGCCTTGGCATCTGCACCCTCCCCTGCCCCTCCTTCCACCTCCTCCCCCGCCTCCTCGCCCAACACCATGCCTTGCACCACGGCTCTTGCATGGCCATGGGTCATGGGTCATGCCATGCCATGCATGATGACCCATTGGATGCGATGGGACATGCCTCGTGCTGTGCCTTGCACCATGGGGCATTGAGTCATGCCATGCGCGCTCCCAGCGAGCTGCAGGGGGAGCAGCAGGAGGAGCAGCAGGGGGAGCAGCAGGGGGAGAAGAAGCAGGGGGGGGAGCAGCAGGGGGAGAAGAAGCAACGCAAGGTTGAACCAACGTCTGAACCGTCTCTTGCTGCAACATACCTCTCTCACCTCCTCTCTCCCAGTCGCACAACCAACCACCCCGCCCATGCTCCATGCACCGTCTCTCTCACGGCCTCACCAGCAGCACCCCGAAGACGGGCTCCTCGTGCCCTTCCCCCTCATCATCGCCGCGTTAAGTCTCACACTGCCCTGTCATGCTTCGCACTACCCACCTCCTTTGAATCCCTTCTAACCGCTTCCCGCACGACTCTTAAGGCGCGTGAAAAAACCCACCAACCGTCTCCTCCGACTCCTCCCCCTCCTCCTCGCCGCGTTAAGTCTCACACCTCACTGCCATGCCTCGCATTACCCACCTTTCAACGATCCATCGGAGCCCTTATAACTACTTCCCACACACCACGCTCCACACCTCATGATCAGTCTCTGGTCCCTCTGCTTTCAGAACCAGCCCCTGACACGTGCACTCAAGGCCACTCAGGACCAGCCAGTCATCCTCTTGAGGAGTTATCCCCTTTTCTCGAGCCTTACGCTTTTTCTTTCGACCCATTTAGCTCTACTCTCGACCCGTCTGCTCCTCCTCTGGAGCTGTTTGGCTCGCCGGCTGTGCTTGTGGCTCCAACATCAGTCGCTCCCCTTTCCCGCCAGTACTCCTTCCCTCCTGTCACACTCCCTGCTTTTCCTCCCTGTCCTTCTCTCTCACTCGCTGCTTCTCCTCCCTGCCCGCCTCTCTCGGTCGCTGCTCCTCCTCCCTGCCCTCCTCTCTCCGTCGCCCGTCCTCGTCCCTGCCCGTCTCTCACTATCGATGTTCACTCCTCTACTGAGAGAATTGCAAGCGGAGGGGAGGAGGAGCAACAGTGGCATCAGCTGCAGCAACGGCGGTGGCAGTGGCAGCAGGAGGAAGAGAAGGAGACGGAGGAGGGGGAAGAGGGTAAGGAGGAGGACAAAGAAGAGGTGGAGGAGGAGGAGGAAGGAGAGGTGGAAGGAGGGGAGGAGGATGGAGAGGCGCACGTGCAACAACGCGTTTCCAGGGTTTCTCGAAGATCGCAGCAGCGGGTGCATTATAGGAGTTTGCGAGAGGCAGAAAGGCGGGGATGGGTGGGAGCGGTGGTGGTGGAGGGGGAGATGATGCAGCGACTGGGCGTCACAGCAGATCAGATCCACGCTCTTGTGTCAGGTCAATGGGGAGAGAACGCGAGTCCGGTTGGGGGGGAAGGGGAGAAAGGGAGGAAGGAGGGAGTGGGTAGGTGTACAGCAGAGAAGGGCTGTGGCAGCAAGAGCAGCAAGAGCAGCAAGAGCAGCAATAGCAGATGCGGTTTGCCTTGTTCCTGTTCCTGCAGGGGGAGAAACTGCAGTTGGCCTGTTCCTTTCCTCGTCCTTCTCCACGGCTCTTCTCCTCTCCCTCCCGACTCTCTTGCTAGAGGCCTCGCCGCCCCCGACAGTCTCAGCCCTTACAAGAGAGATGCCTATAAAGGGGACAGCTTCTCCTGTCAGCCTGGTTCGGACGATCAACGAGGGGGTGGGTTGGGCCAGAGAAACAGGAGGAAGCGAGTAGCCGGAGGGAGGGACAGCGAGGAGGGCAGAGAGGGAAGCTTGGAGCAGAGTAGGAGCAGGGAAAGGGAGGGCAACCACCAAAGGCAAGCAGAAGAGGTAGATGAAAGAGAAGAGGGGGATGACTGTGAGTGCAACGATGGGATGAGCGGTTGTCAAGGCAGCATCAGGAACAGGCCTCCTGCTCTGTCCATCTCTCCCTCTACGCCCATCCCTGCCTCTGCGGCTCGTCTCTCTCCCTCCCCTGCTCTCTCCCTCTTATCCTCCCCATCCATCCCCTCGCTATTGTCACTTGGCTTTGATGCTGTCGTGAGGAAGCCCCTGCGGAAGGCGGCGCTGCTGGCGGCGCTTCTGCCGCTGTTCAGTGCAGACGTGGAGGAGGAGCAAGGTGAGTGTGGGCAAGCAGGAGGAGGAGCAGGAGGAGGAGCAGAGGCAGGAGGAGGAGAAGGAGGCAAGAATGGGGATGTGGCAAAGGGGCAGTGGGGTGGTGTGGTGCTGAGTCCATCGTCCCTCCACAAGGCTGGCAGCAGCGCTGCAGCGGCTCTCTGGCGAGCTGTCACGTCCCCTCGATCACTCAAGTCCCCACGGTCACTCAAGTCCCCACGAGCTCTCAAGTCCCCACAAGCTCTCAAGTTTCCCCTGTCACTCAATTCCCCACCATCACTCAAATCCTTTCCCTTGTGCCCCTCCCACTCATCCACCACTCTTACGACTCCAACCACTCCCACCACTCCAACCACTTTTAACACTCACATCATTCCCAACACTCCCAACACTCCTAATACTCTCACCATTCCCGGAACCCCAAGCACTCCCACGCGTAAATCTGCCAAGTCCGAACATGCAAGCCCCGTTGCGGTACCAAGCACGTCACCCAGTGCAAGTGGTGGTCCCTCTGCCTCTCTAGCTATGCATCTCGCACCCCACATCCTCACCAGCAGCACCAGCGGTATGGGTGGAGTGGATGGTATGGATGGTGGGGATGGTATGGATGGTGGGGATGGTATGGATGGTGGGGATGGTATGGATGGTGGGGATGGTATGGATGGTGGGGATGGTATGGATGGTATGGATGGTATGGATGGTAACAGTGCCTCGTTGACCAATCGAGTGGCTTCTCTAGAGCACCTCGTTCCAGCATCAGCCACAGCTGCTGCCGGATCTGTTGCTGCTGCTGGTGCTGCTGCTGCTGCTGCTGCTGCTGCTGCTGCTGCTGCTGCTGCTGCTGCTGCTGGTGTTGCTGCTTCTGCTGCTGCCGGTTCTGTTGCTGCTGCTGTTGCCGCTCCTTCGATGAGTTTTACAACTGCTACCGATGCTACTTGTGCTGCTTCGGTTGATTTGACATCTGGTGCTGCTGCTGCCTCTAGTGTTGTGAGCGGAAGTGGTTTATTGGAAGGGAGAGGTCTGATGAGGGGCGCGGATGCTGAGGAAGCACTTTCTGATGCGCCTAAGAACTGCCAGCCCTTTGTGGCGCAGGGGGGGCGAGCGCTGGTAAGGAGCGGCAGTGCTGTGGAGAAGATTTCTGATTCGCCTCGGGGGTTGCGGCAGTATGTGCCCCAGGGGGGGGTGCGAGCTCTGGTGAGGAGCGGTAGTGCTGTGGAAGAGCATGCTAAGGCGCCTCAGGGATTGCTGCTCTCTGTGGCGCAGGGAGGGCGAGCGCTGGTAAGGAGCGGCAGTGCTGTGGAAAATATTTATGATTCTCCTCAAGGGTGGCAGCACTATGTGCCCCAGGGGGTGAGAGCTCTGGTGAGGAGCGGTAGTGCTGTGGAAGAACATGCTAAGGCGCCTCAGGGATTGCTGCACTCTGTGGCGCAGGGAGGGCGAGCGCTGGTACGGAGCGGCAGTGATGTGGAAAATATTTCTGATTCTCCTCAGGGGTGGCAGCGCTATGTGCCCCAGGGGGTGCGAGCTCTGGTGAGGGGTGGAAGTGCGGTGGAAGCAGGTGGGGCAGCAGAACGTAGGGCAGAGATGCATGGGTCAAAGGGTGAAAGGAGGGCAGCAAAGCACGGATCGGCAGGTGAAAGGAGAGCAGATGGGAGGTTGCATGGGAGAGGGAGTGAGCGACGGAGAAGCAGCGACGGTCGTTGCGTTGCTGCTGATGCTGCTGGTGGTGCCGGTGGTGCTGCTGCTGCTGCTGCTGCTGGTCGAGTGCGTGGTTTTGGGAGTGTGCTTTATTTCTCAGGGATCCCTCCCCTGTATGCTCGTCCTTCTGATCTCACCCAGGCTTCATCGTCTTCCTCCGTTGCCACACTCACTCCTTCCGTCACCCATGCACCATCACCATCACTGTCGCCACCAGCAACAGCCCCACCAGCAGCCCCACCACCAGCAGTAGCAGCATCCTCCTCAGCAGCAGCGACAGCAGTGACACAGAAGCCGGCAACGGTGGCAGAGGGGCTGAGTGTGCTGTTGGGTCGGCGGGTGATGGTGGTGGATGACAATGCCATCAACCGCAAGGTGGCCAGCAAGCTGCTGGAGAGGCACGGCGCGCGAGTCACCGCCGTGGATGGCGGCATCAAGGCGCTTCAAGCCCTCGCCCCGCCCCACCCCTACGACCTCGTTTTCATGGACCTCCAGATGCCGGGCATGGATGGGCTGGAGGCGACTCGCAGGATCCGAGCGCGTGAGAGGGCTCAGGGCGGGGGGCATGTGGCCATCATTGCGCTCACAGCGGATGTGATTGCCGGCACGCGCCACCACTGCTTTGCCGTCGGCATGGATGACTACCTCTCCAAACCCCTCCACGACGCGCAACTCTCCCATGCCGTCTGGCGCTGCCTCGCCAATGCATGATCGTTCATACACACTAATGAATGCTTGTCTAGAGCCCACCTCTCCAACGCCGTCTGGCGCTGCCTCTCGAATTCATTATCATACACTACATGCCTGTCCAGGCCTCGTGGAAATGAAGTTTTGCAATCGGGTAATCCATGATTTACGGTTCTAACCCATGAATGTCCATGAAATCATTCCAGTATTCCAGCGACAATGTTCCAATATATGGTAAATGTTTAGTTATACCTACATCTTCCTTTTAAGGCAGGGTGCCTTTCTCTTCCACGCACCAGTAAATGTTAATAGAATTGCTTCCCTCCAGCCCGTTCTCTTTTCTCGGCCATTTCTGGTCCACCAATCTTGCAGGCCTGTGTTCGTCTCCTGATACAGTCACGACCTGTCAAAATGCATATATTGTTGTGTAGGCTGTAGTGGGGTACTCATTAGAGAGTACAACACTTTTAGGGTTTCCCCTTTTGTACTCCCCATGCCTGCTAGTGCCATTCCGCTGTATTGATTCTGACATGGTTTCAGAGCAGGTCCTGATCTAGGACCGTTTTTTTAGGGCTCACCGTCACTTCTGCCACAAGAGCTGCTGCTGTCGCGCGTTGCCCTGCTCGCCGCGCGCGTTCCCTGCCCTGCCCTGCCCCGCCGCGCGCTGCCCTGCTGCCGCGCGTGCTGCGCTGCTGCCCGCGCTGCCCTGCTCGCCGCGCGCGTGCCCTGCCCTGCCCAGCGCTATCGCGCTGACCTGCCCCGCGTGCCCCGCACGCCCTGCTGCCCGCGTGCCCCGCACGCCCTGCTCCCCAGCGCCCGTGCGCGCTCTGCTGCCCCGTACCCGCGCATGTCCCGCTGCCCAGCGCCCGCGCGCGCCCCGCTGCCCCTTACCAGCGCGCGCCCCGCTGCCCAGCGCCAGCGCGCGCCCCGCTGCCCAGCGCCCGCGCGTGCCCCGCTGCCCTGAGCCCGTGCGCGCCCCGCTGCCCAGCGATAGCGCGCCCCTGCCCTGCCCTGCTAGCGCTGCCCGCGCCTGCCCTGCCCGCGCGCAAGTGCCGCCTGCAGCTGCCGCCCTAGGTGCTGCTGCCCTAGGAGCTACCGCCTGCTGCTGCCCTAGGTGCTGCCGCCTGCTGCTGCCGCCCTAGGTGCTGCTGCTGCCGCCCTAGGTGCTGCCGCCTGCTGCTGCCCTAGGTGCTGTCCCCCTAGTTGCTGCCGCCGCGACTGCCGCCTTTGCTGCTGCTGCTGCTGCTGCTACTGCCCTTGCTACTGCTACTGCTGCCGTTACTGCTGTTATGGCGACTCCCACTGTGCTAGCCTTAGACGCAGAGGGGCGCTCGCTTGGGTTTGAGTCCTGACTAGAGGACTTTCACCAGTACCTCCAGAGTGTCACTCAAGACAACGCCTCCCTGTTCGAGCACACGTCGAGGTCCCTTCCGGCCCCCGAGGCTCCTGCTGTGCCTGCTGCTGACGCTGGGGAGGAGGTGCGGACGCAGTACCGCGCAGACCACGTTGCCTACAAGCGGTGAATGGCGCGCGACGCCGCTGCCAAACTTGCAGTAGGCGCTCACCTCTCGCGCGACCAGAGAGCCCACTTTCGCCAGGTGCCGTCGGCCCATGCTTTCTATACCGCTGTGGTTAGGTGCTACTCCCCCCCCCCCCCCCCCCCTCCTGCCACCCTAGGCTGTCTTGCGCTGCCTCTTACCTTCCCTGCGCTGTCAGACCTCGCCACTGTAGCTGACGAGGGTGATCGTAGTGGAGCTGGTGGGAGTGGCGGGGGCGGGCAGCAGGAGCTAGAGCCTTCGTGTGTCGGTGCTTGTACCCCACCTCTGGACTAGTCTATGCGCACCGTTCCACTGTTCTCTCGTATCTCGTCGTCCCCTCTGACTCCTCTGGCTCGACTGAGGGGAGTGACAGCGACCCTGCTGCTGCCGACACAGCGACCTCTCGCCGCTCGCCGCGCTTGGAGACACCTCCGGGTTTTCCGCCCCGGGCGTCTTTGCCTCCTCTGCAACCTGTCACCATGGACTTCGAGGGCCCAGGTGTTGTTGGGGGTGGTAACGCTGAGGGTGCTGGTTCTGGGGGTGCTGGTTCTGGAGGTGCTGGTTCTGGAGGTGCTGACTCTGGGGATGCTAGGAGTCCTCTGGCGCTGGATGTGCTGGTTCTGGGGGTGCGTTGCAGTCGCTGTTGCGGCGGCCTATCTTCTTGGAGCAACCGTCGTCATCGCTACCTGAGCCGACGCCCACTTGTAGTACTCCTCCTCTGTTGTTTCCGCCGCCTGACCTTGCTGGTCTTGTTTCTGACTCTTCGTGTCCTACGTCCGTCGAGGGTGAGCTTGCCCTTAGCTGTGACGTCCTTGAGGACAGGCATTTCGAGCTGAAGTACCTGCCGTACCCTCTCAGCATCCGGACTCACTACGTTGCGCCAGAGAGACACCACCCTGCGCATTGGCGGGCTGCTAGGAGGGTGCTGCGCTACTTGGTCAGACTAGCGAGCAGAACGTAGCACTTTGCACTTCGTTCCTTTGCCGTGCGAGTGTTGCAGCAGCGTTCCCAGCTTCGTCTTCGTACGTGGCCACACGGGCCAACACTGCTTGTCTCTTGATCTTGTCTTGTACATTGATATATAAACCTGCATGTTTTTTTTTGCTAGGTTGTAATAATTGTACTGCTTGCTCTATTATGAAACTGCATGTGAACTGGCCTTGTGGCCGCTTGCTAGTGCTCAGAATGCGTGGTGATCTTGAGATCCACCCTGAGCTTGCTTTGCTTTGTTTCTTCTCTTGACTGGTCTTGTGACCGCTTGTTGTGTTTGCTATCGGCCACTTCGCCTATGGGGGTGTGTCAAAATGCATAAATTGTTGTGTAGGCTGTAGTGGGGTACTCATTAGAAAGTACAACCCTTTTAGTGTTTCCCCTTTTGTTCTCCCCATGCCTACTAGTGAACCCATCCCGCTGTATTGATTCTGACACGACCCACTTCCGATTCGCCAATGGAATCGTCGGCACGGAAAGTTGGAAATTTGCAGCAGGCAAATCGAGTCAACACGAGTACGGCGAGATTACCAGCTCGGGCAGAAAATTTGGGGCTTTGGAACGACAAGGGGCACTATGAATGGGATGACCCGAACCTAAACCACATGCAAGCAATAGCCGTTGCCGGCGACAGTACTGTCGGCTCTTTGGGGACAGGGGGAGTGCCAGAGTGTGGGAGAGAGTGTGATTCGAACGAGCCTTATTCTAGATATAATTGTGAACGGGGAAATCTAGCACTGAATGAACTATGTAGATGGTACGGATATTTGATCCGATCATACATTTTGGACGGGGGGTGGGGAAAGTGGAGGGAGGAGGGTGCGGAGGAGGGAGGCTAGTGGGGGCTGGGCAGGATTGAGGATACTCTTTTTTGAATAATGCGGGAATAAGCCACTGTTTTCTTGGTTCTTGTTGAATGGTGCCATGGTGCCCATAGTACCATGGTTCTTTTCAAACAAATGCGCATATTTTCCTCCTGATATATTGTTTCCATTCCCAAGTCTGGTGGCACTCTCGTAACAGCCCTGTGTCAACAAGCATATCACTCTCACTGTTCAGGGACGTGGTATTGAATTCAGAATTGTGAACAATATGTATATACCAGTATGTATACGTTCATGGCCAACTTATGGAATGCATAAAGCATACCGTAATCCCCTGATATACACATGGGCCAAATTGAAGCTGTTGGGGCCTTAAGCATTCCCGAAGGTGCAGCAGTATCGCATCAGCCACTACTATCGCGCTAGCCCATATAGGGCACGCATGTCAACAGTCGCAAGTCAACTGTCGTGACTGTTGACTGACCTGGACTGAACAGTTACCAGCGAAGGAATTGCAGGAGGCATAACTGTCTCTACAGTTACAGACGGCAACCTAGTAACTGAAGGATCGCTAGCACTGTAGCGATGTATTACGGCTACTAAGGGAATGTACCCCTCAGTGTACATGGCTAGCTAGGATCTATGTAATGTGTGTGATGATTTATTTTTTATCAATCTTGTCATTTACATTTACTATGCAACAAGGTTCATACCACTGCAAAGACTTATCCTATCCAAAATATCCTTATTCTAACATGGTATGAGAGCAGGTTTGGATTATAAGATATGCCAAAAACATCGTTCTGTAAAACGATCTTTATTATAAATATCTCTTACTATCAAGGCTATCATCATGCCAGGTGCAGACTGCGGCGAAACTGGAGAGAATCCAGTAAATCCCTCCACCAACGTCGCCTCGGGACGACATCTGGGGACCCAATGCTCATGGAGCAGCTCATCACCCGCATCAGCGCACTGGAGAGCCATCATCATCAGCCCATGAGCATTGACGGCTCCAGCTACGCCCGAAGACCTCCCGATCCACAAAGACCTTACTCCGAGCGATAATTCACCTTCGACAATCGTGGAGCTCAAGGATCTGCGCAAGTACAACAAGCACATTACGATGCAATGGCATCTATTCAGAGCAAGTTTCTCTCAACTTCAAAGCTCAGAACGTCAACGCTCTTCGACGAGAAGGACTTCTACACTTGGAGCTTCGAGTTCGAACTCGTATCTCAGAGCGCACAAATCTGGATGTACTACGACACATCCCTGCCTTTACCTACCAACGGCTCACCTCACGAGAAGACTCAGTTTTGCAGCGAGTCATTACTTGCCTACACCGTCTTGATCTGGAAACTATCGCCCGCGGAGGAGCTCAACATTCTCTCCTTCACGAACGAGTGGGCGCCCGCATAACAATCCTGGGAGCACCTGCGCACATGCCACATGGCAATGTGAGAATAATACGAGGAATGAATGACTAGGAAATGAGATGGGTACAAATATGAAACCCTAGGAAACTGTACCCCCTAAGGTCTAACCCACTACAGCCTAAACAGGCTATAACATGTATGTTTGACACACCCCCATAGGCAAAGTGGGGGAGAACAAGAGGTCACAAGACCAGTCAAGAGAAGCAAAGCAAGCTCAGGGTGGATCTCAAGGA